CAAAAGGTTGGCAGGCGTTGCTTTAGAGAATTTCTGGGAAAGGCTAACCCCATCTCCTCTCCTTGAAGCTCCAGTTTGTAGGGGCAATCAGTGATGCCTTCTTCCAAATAGATTGCTGATGATAGAAGAAATTGTGCAGGATAGCTTTTTATAATAGGGCATGTCGTTGGATGAGATGTATACTTCTGTTAATTCTTGAAGTCCACCTGTTTTTTTTTTTAAGGGGGAACGGACATTAGTTGAATGGTTCTCCTGAATTTAATAGAACAGTTCCAATCTCCAGCCAAGTTCCAAAGGCTTTATGCAGCTGGCTTACATCTTCATGTAACTGTATCACTGCTCTGATTCAGCTTTCATCCTCTCTGGAGAAGACAATAAAACCCCATAAAGGATCTTCTGCAATCTGGTCCCCTCTAGGGATATTGGTACTACAATTTGCAGAGTTGTACGAAACTCCATTTGGATGGTATCAACTGTGGAAAAATATGGTTTAAACAGCCCCAGAAAAGGACATTGTATTCAGGAGTTATTTATATTTCTGTTCTGCAATCGGTCCTTGAAATGTAAGCAGGATATTGGTTTCCCCATGTCCCTAAAACCCCGCTGTCCCTAAAGCTATTCCCTCCACAACATACCACACACAGAGAGACTCTGCTTGCATTGCTGCTGGAACTCTGACAGAAGAACCAGGACAGCTTCCCCTGTATCTCATTTTCCTTCTCACCGAGGAAGAAAGAGACACAGGCAAACCAGGTGCCACCCAGTGTGTTCCCCAATAAGCCTCCCCCTGCTGGGAGACTCAAGGCAGAACTGTTCAGCTGGCCTTGGAGGAGAAGATATATGTTAGAAGAAGCAGCGGGTCTTGTTAAACTGGCGAAGATGACTCTCCATATCCTCTTCCACAAAACAGTTGGTGAGGTCTGTGGTGGGACTCCATTGATATCACAAGGTGATGTCACTTAGCCTGGAATCCACCCCAATGCACATGGAGGGATTGAATCTGAGGCTTTGGTGAAACTTAATCTGTTCCTCTGTCGTCTTCTTTTTTGGACAAAAGCCATTTTTAGTCTGTCCAACAACATAGCTCAGCTTTAAAGGAATCTCAAGCCCACTTCTGCTTCCTCCCGATCTACGAAGACTCTACTATTCCCTTGATAAGCTCTTCTTAAGCACTCAGGCCTGCTTTTAGCTCAAATGTAAGCTTTTGGAGATGGCCTTTGCTCAGGAGAATTTGTGGAAACATTTCACGCTTTGTTTTTCCAGCAAGAAAATATTGAATGGGGAATTTATTGAGCTTGTCTTGTCAGTACTATGAGAAAACTTGATCAAGAAAGCAACTCCTCAGGAAGATCTATTTATACTTGATTGAGATCAGTTGTAGTAACAGAATTTTGTGTCTGCTTGATTTACCTTTCCTGCTTCTAGCATCTTACCATACCCCATTAGGCCATTGTTTTGGAGATATTTCCTTACCTAAACAGGATGATTAAAGGCAAAAAAGTGAAAAGGGAGTGAAAGCAACATCTAACTTCTGGCTGGGTTCCTTTCTCTTCCTTTCCCTTCTTCCCTTCCCTTCCCTCCCCTTCCCAGCAATCAGGTAAGTGGATGCTGCTGGGTGGGGGAGGGAGGTAGGGATTGTTAGACTGGCTGGGAAACTGTCACGAACATTGTAAATGAAGATCACATGACCGTAGCAGAAGCACAGCAGCAGCCAGTAATTGAAGCAGCCATAACTTTCTCAAATTTCAATATCTCAGGAGTCATGGGTCCTGGATTTTAGGCCATTTGAGGTACCTTAGTTCAAAAATTGTTGCCTATCATGCACTGTTTTCACCTAGTTAAAGGTCATGATAAGGAGAATTTTAGTAGCATATAAATTGAATCAGGGAGGAGCCAGCTGGAATCTCTTTCTAATATTATTCTCTTTCCTAGAGTTTCCTTCTGCTGCTGTTGTTTTTATAATGGCTTCTGAATATTTTCCTACAAGTCCATGTCACTGCACATCTGGATTTTTCCTTCCTTTGCTTTTTAGCTGAGGTTTAACTAGTGTTCTGAATTTTGTCTAGTGTGAAATATAATTGGAATCGCTGGTTGAAAAGCTACCTGATAAACTTAATTCCACCCTAACTTTTTCTATTTTAAAAAAGAGGTGATTCTTTCTCCATCAGCATGAGACACACAAGAAACAGAGAAAACCACTTACTGGGAAATCAGTTTGTCAGAGTCTGAGAAAAGGGGAGAATCGTGTTCCTTTGTGAAGAAATTGGCAGCCAGACACTTTCCATTAAATTCTTGTAACTTCATTGTCATGACTTCTAGCAATTTCCTCTCTTCCAGGAAATCAGTATTTTAGCTAAACATTTGTTTTTGTTTCCCTTTGGTTAATTGTCTGCACTCTGAAAGCATATTTAATATTGGATATTTCTGTGTCTTTGAAATTCCTCATTTTGCTTTGAATTTTCCTGAAGGTGTGACTTGCTTGTTGTATCTCTTGGTTTGATGTCATGTGAGAAAGTTAGGCCAGTTTTTCCATCTGTTCTTTGAGTGTTATTCTTAATTAGCCATCCAGATTTAAGAGTGTTCTTGCAGAACAGGGCGATTCTTGATCGTCCCAATAGTGGTTTTTGCAAGCAGAGTTATCTTTTACACATGAGAAGGAAAGTTGGGATATATTATGTGTTTAGGGTTATTGAATTGATTCAGGACTGAGGTGGGCTTTGTAGGGAGATTTCTCAGTTTATATTTTACCCAAAAGCTTGTGCAAAACCTACCATCTGTGTGAAAGAGAGAACTCTTGGTCCCCGGATAACACCTGCTAGCTTGTGAAAGGCAATATGTCAGAAAGGGGAGGGAGAGTGACAAAAAACAAGGTTTGGCTCAATCTTATCTAAGTTTGCAAACCATTGATAATAAAATACATTTACAAAACCAGCTACAACTTCTGTCCACTTGCCTCTATTGTGAATGGTCAATTTAGCCAGCAGCACTATAGAGGGGGGTGGGGAAGAGAGTTCTGTGGGTTTGCTCTTTTCACAGAGAACAAGTTTGAGATTTTTCTGAGATTTGTGGGCATTTCTGTGTGGTACGTGCATAACTGTGCAAGGAAAGCTAAAGCTGGTTTTATTGTTTCTCCTCTTGGGATTTCTGCAAAACTCCTGTGATTCTAGAGATATTCTCTAAAATGTGCATGAAATAAGGACTAGAGAGATTTTGTTTCAGATCTCAGAATCTAAAGATCTCTATTCCTATATCACCTGCTGTTGAGCAATAATGCTTCTTATGAAGATTGGACTGCCATTTGTCAGAAATGGTGTAGGGTCTCCCGCTTGGGCAGGGGGGTTGGACTAGATGACCTACAAGGTCCCTTCCAACTCTGATTATCTGTATCTGTATCTAAGATTTTACCTGCAAGGTCAATACAAAGGCTCTAGCCAAGCATACATAATCAGCTGGCATCCTCCGTGGCATTTGTCCAAAATGGCATTGCAACCAGTCAGGGTTAGGGAAAACAAAAGACAAAGTCTAAAATTGACAAAATTTGTGATAGTTTCATTTCCGGTCTTGCAACCCATTTTAACTGGTGTGCTTTGCATTTCATGTAGAAATGTTGGGAACAGGAGAGGGAATTTGCTTTGAGCAAAGAAAATCGAAGTGCATGATTAGAGCTAATGTGTTGGTTCAGTGTGTCAGGCCTGTCCGATTACCCACTCCCTAGGGAAGTGACTTATCCCTGTGTGGCAACAGCTGCATCATCATCCATGTCTTGGTAAAAGAAGGGCGTGGCCATTTTCAAATCCTCCCACTTGCTGGAAAGGAGACTAGGATGCTATCATTTTCACGCAGGTGGGGGTTGAGGGATGGTTAAACATCTGCAGTGGGCCAAGCAGGTTGAGCCTCACTCTAGAAAGAAATTAGTCACCTAAAAACTTATTTTTGTGTGTGCCAAAAAAAAGGAGCAAAAATGTAGAAGAGAATGGAAAGACAATGGAGCTTGTTTTCTTCTAGAGTTGGCTAAGATTTTGGCTTTGTTTCAGCAGAAATACAGCTGTTTGGGTCAGGAATGCAAGCATGAAATGGGTTGTGGGTTGTTCCAAGTGACAACATGCCCCTCCTTAGGAATCCTGGTTGCTGGAGGGAAAGGACAGCTGTGATGGAGATGCAGGAACAGGTGACATGTGGTCAGGAGCTGAAGTGGGCCCTGCATCTGCTTGCGGCAAAAGAGTATGAATCCTCTTCCCCCACACAACCCCAGCTGTTCATTGCCCCCTTCTCCCTCTATATGTGCTCCTGACAAAAAAATGCCTAGGATAGAATTTATCCTCTCTTTAACTAATTGATCTTTTCAGAACGCACATTAATGTCAGAAGGGGGAATACTCAAGGTCGCAGTGGCTTAGCATCAAGGCGAAAGGAGACCAGCAGCTTTTGCCAGCTCAGCAGAAATCTGGTTCCCAAGTGTGCTGCTCAGCTCTTCTTGATTCCCTCTCTCACATCTTTGTATCCATCACAATAATAATTTCATTTCCTCCTTCTGTACGTCCATTCATTTTTTAAAAACAATCATAATTCAACCTTTCCCTATTTTCTTTCGATCCTGCAGATCTGATGCCCCGTTTTCTCCTTTTATTCGATGCTTCTTTCTGCCTTAATCTCTTTCCATTATGCCGTACTTTTTTTCTTCTTAAAAACAAAAACCAACACCATCTGCTTTTTGTTATTAAAAATAATCCAGTGCAATAGGATACAAGATGCAAAGAATAAAACCGTGAAGAATAGATAGTTGGCAAAATTACAAGAGGTTTAAGAAACCATTTTATGAGACAAGGACCAAAATGCTAGCCCACGTTCAGCGAAAGCCTTGACTGAAGAATGAAATGCTTCGCTTAGCATGCCACAGCCGTCCAGATGCAGAGCAGTCAGTAAAAAGCCCACCTGTCCACCCATCTTTGCTCCTTCCCATCTTCTTCTGGTCCCTCTAACTTTCTCCTCCATTTCTTTCAGGCTGTTGGTGGGAGCACCACAGGCTACCGCATTGCCTGATCAACAGGCCCAAAGAACAGGTGGCTTATATGCCTGTCCTTTGACCTACGGAACTAAGGACTGCGAGCGCGTGCCCATTGATGAGGGAGGTATGAAACAGTATGGTTAAATTGGGGTGAATATGAACCCTTCCTTCCACATAGCAACATTCCTTCTCCAATTCGGATCAGGCTTAAACTGGAGTCAGTTCGGAATCTGGGTTGTCTGTGACAGAAGGGGACAACTTGCCATGTAAATTAACTTGCTGTGGCCATATCCGGTGGTGGGGTTCAAAATTTTTTACTACCAGTTCTGTGGGCGTGGCTTGGTGGTGTGGCAGGGGAAGGATACTGCAAAACCCCCATTCCTTTCCCACCCCACTAACCTGCTTTCCAGCTCCGTTCTCCTGTGCAGGGCAACAAAAGAAGACCCAGCCTATCAGCTGGGACTCGGGAGGGAGAGAATAGATGGGGGCGGGGCCAGTCAGGGGTGGGATTTGCCGGTTCTCCAAACTACTCAAAATTTCCACTACCAGTTCTCCAGAACTGGTCAGAACCTGCTGAATACCACCTCTGGCCATACCGCTGCAGGGCAACTCGTCATGGGAAAACTTGCTATGGGAAAATACATGCGGATTAACTCAAAGACTTTACACTGGAAATCATGGAAATGATGTTGAAGAAACCATAGTGGATAACATTTATCATGACTGTAGCGAGTCGCCCTGTGGTGAGTTGGCCATAGTGAGATGGCCTCAGCAAGTTGGCTACGGCAAGTTGTCCCATTCTGATCGCAGACAATTCAGATTGACAAGACAACCCTGTGGTGAGATGGCTGCACCAGACTGGCTAGAGTGAGATGGCCGGGGTGAGCTGGCCATGGTGAGATGGTCACACCGAATTGGCTGGGGCGAGTTATCCTAAATCCATCTGCGATTCCTCCTGAGTTTACTAAACAGTAAGCACAGAATTTTTTTCAGCCAGTGTAGAGCCTGTGGACCAAACCACATGATAATAAAATGTTAAACATGCAGAAAGTCTCAGTTCCTAGATAAACATAAGTCACTTCGCCAGCTAGACTCTTCTAAATGTATTGGATTTCAATTCCCCTGGCCATCTGTCTAGGTCAGGGGTGTCAAACTGGCGGCCTGCAGGCCAGATGTGTCATGTGCAAACCATGCCCACCCCAGCTCCGCGAAGGGAAAAAACATTACGTGATGGCATTGTGATGCCGTGAGTTTGACACCCATTACCTAGGTGTTGGGAAGGTGGGATCAACACATCAGGAGATTATCATCATGGTGGGGAACGTGGCCATTTGCAACATTGAAAGCTTTTATCAAAACGACGAAAGCAGGACCTCATCATCATGATACAAGCCCCACCCTTTTTGTATGAGATCATGACAAAAGGGGTGGGACGTGCATCACAGTAGGACAAGGTTGTCAAATTCATGGTGTCACGTTGCCATCATATGACGTTTTGCGGCATTTACCTCCTTCGCAGAGTTGGGTTGGGCATGGCTTGGGCATGACGCATCCAGCCTGCGGGCTGCCAGCTTGACACCCCTGAAGTAGGACAACCCTGTTTTCATCATCCGTCCTCTTGACTTTTTGGAAGCCACCTCTCTCTGCCCAGGGGTGCCTCTGTTGGGAAGCATAGTTAAAATATGTGATTTCCAGAGCAGCTAGCTTGATTGCTTCCTGGCAATTTGCATTTCTTTAAAAAGAAAAAGCTCAGCTGCATTAGCCTCAGTATGTGCTCTAGGGGGCAATTTCTTGCTGACCTGTGTTACTCATGAGGTGATGATGAAGAACGGTCATGGAGCTGATGATTGGTCCTGATTGGGCATCTTTCCAGCATAGAATCTTGCCCTACTGCCTCATTCTGGTTTCTCACTGCATTGTCCGAAATGTTCCCAGGCAGGTACATTCCCCTGCAGTGATAGAGGGGCATTTTTGCAGTTGTGTAAGTGCAGGTGTAATTTAGAATTAGAATTAGAATTCTTTTATTGGCTAAATGTGATTGGACACACAAGGAATTTGAAGAGGAGCAAGGAAGCTGGGAGGGAGATTAACTTTTTATCCCATGCTGCATATACATGGTCTAAATTGCTCCTCTTAAAGTGCTTCAAACTCATGGGAGAACAGATACATTTTCTTCTGTCTAGCTCAAGCATCCTCAAACTTGGCAAATTTAAGACTTGTGGACTTCAACTCCCAGAATTCCTGAGCTAACATGACTGGAGGAGGAATTCTGGGAGTTGAAGTCCACAAGTCTTTAACCTGCCAAGTTTGAAGACCCCTGGTCTAGCTAATAAAAACCTTGGTGGAATTGGATACAGAAGAGAGTTAAAGCCCCATTTCTGTAACTGTGATCCAAATCAGAGCCACACAGCTCAATCAAAGAAATTGAGATTGTTTTATGGGTAGTGCTGTGTGTGTCTGTATAATATTTTTCAAGGAAGAATTAAAGGAAAAATGCTGCAAAATCCATTTAATTTGATCCTAAGGATAGGATCCTAAGGATTATTTGATCCTCATATCTTCCTAAACATGACAGTCTTCCATTTAAGATAGTGCTTTTCCTCTTTTCTTTGATGGGGATGCAACATATCACCCTTCACACTTCATGTAGTCAGGGTGAAACCTATCTAGATCCTATTAGTTGCTCAAGGTAGCCATCTCTGGTCACTGGGAACTTCCCTCCTTGGCTATTTTGGCAATTTAAACTATCATATTTTTTTTTGACAACCCACAGATTAAAAATTTTTTTTTAACATGACTATTTGTCTGTGCCTTAGCCACTCTTGTATTTGTTGCAATTTTTGGTATCATATAAAGCAAAGATCAAGTCCTCTGTGCCCCAGTAACACAGGGTCAAATAATTTTCCCTCCTTAATATCTCTCCATTTCTTTCCCACTTTGCAGTTGACCTGAAGAAGGAGAGCAAGGAGAACCAATGGCTGGGTGTTACTGTCAACAGCCAAGGCCCCGGAGGAAAGATTGTGGTCAGTGGCCATGACTGGATGGGTGGGTGGTCATTCTGTTTAACCTCTTTGGTTCTGGCCAAGTAACCTAACAGGGTCCAGCCTGGTGTGGCTAAGTTATATAAATCTGAGTTTATGAGGAGGCAGCATGCTCAGCTAAAGAGACTTAGGGAGCTGTTCCAGCTACGTCATGTGGATCGGTGGGGAATTGAGAAATCCGAACAGATAGATTTCAAATGGATTGTGACGGTGAAGAATGAAGTTGGGGAAGATAAAATTAGAGAGAAAGCTTTTCCTGTGTTCACACAAGTGAAATTGTGCTTAGTATTCTGGATGAAAGGAAGCTCCTTTATACTGCAATCACCTTTTCACACTGTTGTGGAATAAAATTATATAAACATATCCCAACGCTATGTCCTTGTTCTCTCTGCATGGCTGAAACTAGAATGCAACAGGCAGGTTAAAGAAACCTATCTACTTTGGCAACATTCGTACAACTCAAGCAGTCTAATATAAAGATATGTTGTCTTCCTAGAAAGACTTTAAAATCAAAATATAGGTTAAGAAAATCCTTTCCCATCCTAACACTGTCCAGATATTTTCCCAGAATCCTTAAGGCTAACTTTCTGGACTTAAGATTTCAACACACTACATGGACATTATGCTGGGAAAGCTAGAATATAAGTATCTGGCTGATTTTTTTAAAAAATGGAGCAGGGTTGGTCTGTGTTAATATTTGAAATACCAGGGATATAGGCTAGACTGAGAAGTTTTTAAAAATACAAGAAGACGACAGTTGCAAAACATTTCTAGGTTGTCAGGAAAAAAGCCACATCCATGAAGGTATAGACAAGTCAAGCTTGGTTAAAAAGAAATGATCACTTGAAATAGCTACTCACATTACCATTGCCTGTAAAAATATCAGCTTAGATGAATAATAAAAAATCCTTATGTCAATAATTCTTGGTTAAGTTGGATAGGTATTGAAATTAAATCAATTAAATCCTCACTTCATATAGAAAGCTGCTAGCAGATCTGTGGGGTAGACTCTCCTTTTGCATTGATTTAATAATATTAGTTAGGGACAATTCATACAGTGTATCAGGGCATCATCTGAGGAGTTTCATGGACTATTGTTTATGCTTAGATTTATGCATATTATTTCTTAGATTTATGCATTTATCATCTAATGACTCTAGGTGGCTCAGAACAATCCATAAAACATAGTGAAGACCAAAGATACTTTCCCCAAACCCTGTTTGGATTATGATTTTCTACATAAAAGATTGGGGTGGGTTCTTTGTGGTAGGAACTGCATCTTCTGGGCTTCACTGGTAAACAGGACCTGACTTGTAGACTTCAGCTTTCAGCTCCATCTGTTGATTCCAGGAACCATGAGCACATTTTTCAAGTATAGTTCTAACTTATCACATTCCTAGGAAGACTTTAGCTTATGGCATACTTGCCATTCATAGCGTGGTACCTTCCAGGAAAGAATTCATATCATTTTTAGTCATGTTTAAATCCATTCACAAAGTGACAAATTTGTCACAGGTATTTCACAGGTATTTCTTCATGATGTCCATGAAGTGGGTCTGAATATACAGTACATACCACTCTAGTCAGGATGTGTGGGCTAAGGTGTACGTTATACTTTGGGCCTCCTGAGCAATTATAGGAAAAGAAAATGCAATTTACTAGTGCTTTCAATTTGTGTTTCTATCCATCCATCAATTAAAATAGCATTAGCTTTTTCATCACTGAAGCAATCTCAGAATGAGTTTTAGCCCTTGTTAACTTGTCAAAATGTTTAAATCTTGTCTCGGAATTGTCCCTGTTATCTGTTTTGTGCATGTTTTCATATATATATTTAAATCTGTAATTCACATTTTGGCTATTATTTGATAATTATCATGCCTTGCTTGGAGCTTCCCTACCTCTAGATCAGGGCTGTCAAACTCCCAGCCCATGGGCCAGATGTGTCATGCTCTGGCCACGCCCTTGCCCGGTTTAGAGAAGGGGGGAAAAGTCCCGATATGTCACATGATGCTGCCTGATGCCATGAGTTTGACACCCCTGCTCTAGATAATGTTACCTCAGAAAGGATGGTTAAAAGTAGAACCATGTTAACAGCTCTTCCCTATTGCTTAGACACTACAAAAGAGGCTTATGGCATAAACCCCACTCAAGGTACATTCCAGGGAAGTCCATGAGCTCTCCTGTGTTATACCTTTGATAAGACTATAGGCCTTCTACAACTGGTGTTTGTTTCAGAGTCTAGAGGCCTCACATACTTTCTAACCCTCTCTGCCCTGTCTCTTTTCTCCTCCCATGAATCCCAGACCTGCGCTCACTTATATGAAGCACGCAACCGTGTGAACGAGTCCCTGGAGACGAGGCACGTGATTGGCCGCTGTTACGTACTCAGCGAAGGGCTGCAAGTGGCCGATGAACTGGATGGTGGCGAGTGGAAATTCTGTCAAGGGCGTGAACAGGGGCACGAACGCTTTGGTTACTGCCAGCAGGGAATAGCCACGGGCTTCACTGCAGATAGGCATTACATCCTCTTTGGGGCACCTGGCACATACAACTGGAAGGGTAAGCCTTTGCTTTCAACAAAGAATATTATTAAATCAGGTAGTCCCGACCCACATCTTGGCAGGCAGCTCAATCATACCGTACCCCCCCCATTGGAGCTGGAGATTTTTCCCCCCCCCCCCCCCCCCCCAAACAAATAGGATGGCTGTGGGTACCATTCATGCCCTCATCAATTGGTACCCAAATCTGGGAATATGTCCTCCTAAGTGACTTATAGGAAGCCCATGGAGGAGGGGGGGCAGTTTCTGTATTTTCTATACTGAATGGCACTGGATGGGTGTATCTCCTGCAGGGATTGTGTGGAGGGTTTTCAAGTCTAATGCATGGCCTCTGAAGGATCAGACCTTCCCAACATGACCAGTATAGGCAGGAGTATTCTGCTGTGCCAGAAAGAGCAGATCATGGGCCCAATCACCACAGCACAGCACAGCACAGCACAGCTGCTGCAAAGACAAGCTAAATCCCAGGATCTTTCATGGAACCAATGGGCTTGTGACAAGCAAATCTAAGCTCCTAGGAAATGCTCATTGTGTCTTCGGCTCTTTGCCCCCAGCATTATTCTAGAGGGCTCCTTTTAAACCTCTGCCCAGATCCTCACTGTAAATTTGTGACAAGCGGTTGCCTCTTCCATCACCCGCTACAGAAGGACAAATCAGAACAACACTCTTGCTTTCCTACTATCCTGCAAGACTGGCCATTTTCTCCAATGTCTCCCTCACTCTGCCCATCATTAACCGGTGTTTGGTTTGGCAGGGACCATACGGGTAGAGCTGAGTGTCTTGGATTTCAGTCACTACGACGATGGGCCGTATGAAGCCGGGGGAGAAAAGGACCAGGATCCCTCGCTCATCCCCTTGCCAGCTCACAGCTACCTCGGTACGGGGTTGTGCCCAGCAGGCCAAACACTACAGAGCAATCAGACAGGCCATAACAGGGCAGGGTGTTTGGGAGATGGTGGGGGGATGGGAAGCAAAAAATTCACCTGGGGGGAGAACTAAAGACTGGCCAATAAACATCATCCCAAACTCAGTTTTGATTGGAAGAATAAATTTCACTTGTAACAAGCATGCTATCTCGTTCTTTGGACCTGGGCAGTCCCATCCCTGGGAAGCAGAATTGTTTGATCAGCAACGATAATGTGCCCTGGGTCATAACTGGGGGCCAACCAGACGACAGTGTGCGAGCACAACCCAAGCCCTGGAAGTCTCCTGCCCGATGCTCTGTGGTGTTTCTCTGCCTGGGCGCTGAACTTTCTCATACAGCTAACCATCTCTCTCTCTCCTCTCTCTCTCTCCTTCCATTGGCCTTGCAGGGATATTGTTTGTGACAAACATTGATAGCTCAGACCCTGATCAGTTGGTCTATAAAACGCCAGATACCAGCGAACGGGTCCCCGGGACTGTTGGAGACGTAGCCCAGAATAGCTACTTAGGTTTGTAAGGTGTTGGTGTGCCCGTCTCCGTGATTTCTGCCTCTTCCTCCCCACTATTATTTTTAGCTAGTGCCTGTTGTTCTCCCCTTCTGTTGTGTTTTGTCGTTTCCACCTTCTCTGCCTCCCGCAAATACATGGCAATCGAACTCTCAAGTCCTGCTACTTTCAACCAGCAGAGGGTGTCAGTCTCAGCTCCCACTGCAGCTCTAACTGTAAAAGAACAGGAATCTTTATCGTGGTTTTTTTTTTTTTAAACAGGCTGCTATAACAGGGAGCCTATGGCTAAGGATAGTGGATCTGGGAAAAGCAGTTCAGTAAATAGTTTAATAATGACTGATCAGCTTTCCCAGTGCAGCCTGTTTCGATAGGGATTGTCGCCACTAATAGGGGCATCAAGAATATCGCAGTTACAAAAATGGAAGGTTGTGGTTTTTTTTAATGTTGGAAAAGAGTTGGTAGAGAAATGCCACATTATTTTGATCTGCTTCCAAAGGCTATATTGGATATTATCTGGAGTTTAAGGAGCATAAACTTCTGGGCTCAAAATACGTTATGATACGTAATCACCATCTGCATGCTTCCATTGTATGTCGCAGTCATGTGCTTTAGTTTGAACTACGTCAGTGCATTTGACATTGTGTGTGTAAATGTGTGTGAGAGCTGTGAGAGGTAGGAATGTGACCAGGTGTGTGTATCTGTAGGGTGGGGGGGAGAAGGTAATCAGGAGCATTCATGGAGGAGTAAAAAAAAATCAAGACTAGATGAAGACCCACCCCTTTTTTTACATGTGCCATATATGTATTGCATGTAAAAAAGGCCAGAGATTAATTCTCATAGTTGTGGCTACCATCTTGACTTTTTTTGACACCTCCTGTTCACCCTATGGACTTTCCTGGATGCAATCATCTGGAAGATGCAGTCTTTCCAGCCTGATAATTTTCAGATGCTATGGACCCCATCTTTCAGCCGACATACCCGAGAGTCACCAAGATGGAGAATCATGGCAGCAAGCTCTGAAAGGATGGACAAAATCTATGTAGGCAGATGGAACATGGGCGCAGTGGTTCCGCCCTCCTAACATTACCATTAACTCCCAGACAGGTCAGAGTGAAAACATCTCATCTGTCTGGTGTAGCTGCCATACCAGTGGGACTGTTGCGACTGCATCTTGACTTAGTGAGAAGTCTTTGCAGGATTGTGGTCTGCTAATCAGTTGGTCCTGACTCCAGTTGAACTGCCAGGTGGGGCTATTTCGGGACGTGATGTGTCAGGCATGAACAACCAGAACCACAAGTGTAGAGTTCAGTCTAACTACTTTATTATATTCTACCAATAATGCCTATAACTGCAGTGGCTCAGCGCTTAAGATGCTGGGCTTGTCAGCTGGAAAGCCAGCAGCCCAGGTTTGAGACCTGAGCATCACGCGATGGGATGAGCTATTGTCCTAGCTTTAGCTCCTGCTAATTTAGTAGTTTGGAAGCATGCAAATGCAAGTAGGTAAATAGGTACCACTTCGGAGGGAAGGTAACAGCGCTCTGTGATGTCATGTAGGCCACATGACTGCAGAAATGTCTTCAGATAGCGTTGGCTCAATGACCCTGAAACAGATTAGCACTGCCCCCTATAGTCACAAGGACTAATGGAGTAAAATGGAGATGTCTTTACCTTTACCTTTTTACTTACCGTATATTAGAGGAACCTCTCCAGACTGGTAGCTCTCCCTTGGGAACAATTCGATAAGACTCCAAGGAACTTGGGGTGTGGGGAGGTCAATCCTAACCCTTTTACGGTTGCACAGAGACTCCTGGCTAAATCCGTGCTTGATCTCTCCTCCCTGTCAGGCTGGGTTCTTCTCGACAGATGTAAAGAAGGTTGGCAATTCTGGATGATTAGTTCTTGAACCCAGAACTGGCTGTGACTCTAGTGGTGGTTTGGATGGTATTCCTTCTACAGGTCTATATACAGATATTCAGGATGCTCTTTGGCTTCATATTGATGCTAGAGATGCATGCGATGCCAGTGACTAGAAGCACCAGGACACAGGTTTATCTGTAAATCATCTCTGGCTGTTTCCAGATGGAGCTAATCTGATTTTAGCAGTGCACCTGCTGCTCCCAAGTTGGATGACTGTAATGTTATCTATGTGACAGTCCTTATTAGTTGATGCAGAGCACTGATGGGCAGCAGGGGAGCTTGGAAATGGGTGCAGGTGACTCTGGTTCTGAGAGCTCGGTATCGATTGAATACTGGTCCCAATTTTTAATGTGCTAATGCTATTTATCATTGGAGCATGTGGGTCATACTCTATACCAGAACCAATCCTTTGGGAAAAATATCCAAGGGGGCTGAATCTGTTTTTTTTTTTTTTTTTTTTTTAGAAAACAGCTAAGGACCTTCATACGTTCTTGCTGTATTTTTGGAGTGTATTTTTATACGCTTTATATAAAATGCCTCCTTGTTTCCCTTGGCAGCCCTGAGACTTGAGTGGCCTTGTCCAAGTTGATATATAAATTTCTACATTTTTGATAACAGTATTTAAGGCGGCCTTAGCACGGATACTTTAATGCCATTTAATTTGTGATTTCATTGTTGGAAACCAACCTGAGTGCTGTGAAGTGGTATGGCAAAATGTGAATAAATAAGAAAGATGAATTTTTATTTGGAACCAAACAAAATAGGTGGCCAAGTGCCTCATTAAGATGTCTTGTCTGCTTAAGAGAGAAAAACATTAATTTACAACAGAACAGCTAGTGATCAGTGTTTAAGTTGAGGTGTTTATTTATTTGATTTTCCTCCTGCCTTTCTTTCAGGAACTCAAATGGGCATTCATAGTGGTCCCCTCCCCTATTTCCCCATTAATAACAACCCTGTAAGGTAGGTTGGATAGAGAGTGATAGGTTTTGAATCATAAAGAAAACTCTGGTGGCTGGATGGGGAGAATGACTAGAATGAGAGGCAGCTTGGTCTAGTAGTTAAGGCGCCCCAAGCTAAAAATTAGGAGACTGTAAGTTCCAGTCTCACCTTAGGCATGAAAGACAGATGGGTTAATTTGGACCAATCATTTTCTCTCAGCCCAACTCACCTCACAGAGGGGTTGTTCTGGGGAAAATAGGATGAAGAAGCATCAGGTATGTTCTCTGCTCTGAGTTATTTATAAAAACAAAGGCAGGTTAAAAAATAAAATAAAATAAAATAAAAACCTTGGTCTCTGTCATTCCTATTCCAAGGGATTAGGGCAGGAAGAAAAGTTTGCTTGGGCATATTGGTTCTGTGATAGTTTAGGAGCAAATGGAGCTAAGATTTTGGGACAGTCTACCTGCTGATCTAGCAGAAACTGATATGAACAGCAACTACTGATCTAGTAAAATTGGAATTTGCTAATTTTGATCAGCATTCCACCTGCTTTGCAACTAAAGGCATTTTAAATATTTTTTGAAACTGAAGTCTATGGTGGTCTGATTTAGGTTGGAACTGCCAAAGCAAAGAAAAGGACCCATTTTCTGTCTCCCTTTTGCTCCGTATCCACTACAGAGAGATGCAAATGAGAAAATGACCAAGTAACATCATCAGTGATAGAAGACAAACCCAGCTCTCTTCTAGCACTGAGGTTGTTACCTTGCTGGGTAGTGAAACATCTGTAAGCAAATAATCAACCTTAGAGAGCACTAAAGGTTACAAATATTCTCTTCTATTGGTAACATGTTTTGCTATATTTTGAATAAAGTCACCAATTTAGTATGACCATTTCTCCCTCATCCCACTCTCTCAATCACGGGGAAATATTACATAATATTCTGTTGTTGGGATCATCTTCCGATAAAGTAGACCATAGGCCCCACATTTTATGCTACAACAAAATTCCTGGACTTTTAAGTTGCCACAAGATCATGCTACTGTATTCCATTTCCAGATGAACCGCAGGCTCTTTCCTGGGAATGAGCTGAAAAGACAAATTTCTCTCCGTTTCTAGAATAGAAAACTCGGTCCTCTGGGAGATTACTAGGGCGTGTATTTCAAGGAGCCCTTGCATTCCTGATCAAGAGCTGTTATTCAAGCCAAAAATGCTCTCAGTCCCTTGAGAGCGGGAAACGACAACAAAAAACAGCCAAGAGAGACTCTAATCAGACTGCAGAGCCTATAAAGTTTGCCTGCCGTTTTCAGAATGGAATGTTTTTTGTCTTAAAAGAGGTTTCCCTCTCTAAATTCTCCTCTTCCTTGGCCTCTGTAGCATCAGTAAAAGCAACTTCTTCTTCTTTCCTTCTTGGTCCTTAAGATGTTGTGTTTCCTGCTGTTCTAGTTTTAAAGTATTGATTTCCCTCCTCTTCCCAAAGAAGTCTTTATATATTCTGGCATGCTTGGTGGGAAGGGAGACAAAACTAGGGAAATGAAGTGACCCTTTTCCTTAATGTAGCTCCCAAAGAGGAAGAACGGTACCCTTCACCAATCTTATTACTGTGGTGTAATAGGGGAGTAGCACTGTTGGCACTGATATATTTTTCTGCTGGCGGATAACAGTTTAATTCAGCCACCAGGAAGAGCCATGTGCCACAAAGGATAAAGGAAAATAGTTGTAAAGCAGAAGAGGCATCTTCCATTCTCTAGCGAGTTCCACTGTGTAGAGTCACTTTAAATTGCCATTTTGTGCAACACCGAAGCTTAGGTTCTAAAACCAAATCTAAAGATTGGTTTGTTTAAAAAAAGAAGATGATTCAAAGACCTCAGGTATGATTTTGGTGGCTTTCCTTCTCCGAACAATTCAGGAACAAGAATGTCAACCAGTTGAAAGTAGGCCTTGTGATGTTTATGAGTGGTGTATGCCCGTGAGCATGACGGTGTGTGCATGTTTGTGCATTGACATATTAAGTCTAGAACTGGTATTGGTACCAATATTGAGAGCTCATGAACTGATAGCTTGTCTTATAAGTTTTGGAATGAAAATTCTGGAAATATGGTGTTAATGCCCGGTAACACCCCTTTCTCAAATGACAAAGTACCCCTTCCTCCATTTCCAGGTTTTTCTATAGACTCTGGAGTAGGGATAACCAAGAAGAATGAGCTGAGCTTTGTAACGGGGGCACCCCGAGCAAATCATATTGGATCCGTGGTGATCCTGCATCAAGACAACTTTAACCGCTTAGTGCCTAAGGTTATCCTCTCAGGGGAGAAACTGGCTTCGTCCTTTGGCTACTCTCTGGCTGTAGTAGATCTCAATCATGACGGGTAAGTAATGTGGGAGGAAGAGAAAAGGCTTTTTGCTCCATGCTCTGTTTGACGTTCTACTCTGGTCGCACAATGGTCGCACTACTCTGGTCGCACAATGTCCATTGCCTTGTCTAACCCAAATGCACAAGAGTACACAGTGGGACACTGTTGGACCAGGGCTTTTGAAAAGCCATCAGAGGAAGAGAGCAAGAAGTGAGCTACACTTACATATTGTTTCTTTTAGATGGATGGACTTGGTGGTTGGAGCACCAAACTTCTTTGATAGAAAGGAACGAATTGGGGGTGCCGTCTATGTTTACATCAACCAGGCAGGGCGCTGGGAAAACATCCTCCCCATTCGCCTCAATGGCACCTCTGACTCCCTGTTTGGCATCACAGTGGGTGCCATTGGGGATCTCAATCAAGATGGCTTTCAAGGTGAGATTCTTGAAATTCTTGTGGGAAAGATGGACATGAACCCTTCGGTGGGTTCCACATGGGCTACCTGTGAATTTGAGTTAAGGTTAGGGGGAATTCTGGGGAGGCCAAGCAAAATATGCGTGCTTGGAAGCAAGCCTCTGAGGATCGGGGGGACAAAATTTCAAAGCCTGTGCGTAGGACAGTATTGAGTGACTCTTGGGATAGAAAGAGAACCATTAGAGAAGTACACATGTATGAGAAGGGAAAATAGAAGAGAGACAATATCTGTCTTACAAGTTCCAGTGCAAGCTAGCAATATAATTACAATTGCTATGGGGTGCGGTTCTTACTTCTCTCTGCCCCAATTTCCTTCTTTCCAGATTTTGCAGTTGGGGCACCACTGGATGGTGATGGGAAAGTCTACATCTATCATGGCAGTAACTTGGGAATTGTGACAAAACCTGCTCAGGTCAGTTGCCTTTCCAGTTAATTAAATGATTGAGAAATGCTACATCTTTATGATCTGCCTTGGCTCTACCTAGATAGAAAATGAGGAAAATTATCTTGATAATAACGTGGAGGAACCATTGCCTAAGACAGCAGTTCTCAACAGGGAATTAGGGCCCTCTTAGGGGTCTTAGAATATTTCAGGAGGGCCACTGGTGAAAAACATACAATGCAGTCTCAGCATGTGCCAAGGGGGACGCAGAAAAACTATGACTGTATTATTAAATATTGTCTTCTTGATATCAGAAAATGCACCAGTTACTGGTCATGTGATCTGGAAAGGGAGCCACAGAAGAAAAACAAGGTCAAAAGGGGGGCATGGATAAAAAAGGCAAAAAAAAAGTGGAAGCATTTTTTAAGTCCAAAGCAACAAGGTAATGTTTAGAAGCGGCTTTCACAGATACGTCCCTAATCCATTGGAGCGTAAGAAAGGGGAGGAGGTACAGCACAGTCAGATTTGCCAGACCCTGTTATTATAGCTACTATCAATAAAAATCATTTAAGCCTTCCTGGGGTGATGGTTTCTTAGTCTACTCTAATTTATCTAGTGGGGCTGACAACAAACATTCCCTTCCCTCTGTTTATCATCATTACGCTCGGTAATGGCGGCGCCCAACTAGGAAGGTGAGGCTCTCGCTCCTGGAGCACTATCTCCCTATAAAACCACCACCTGCACCAGAAATCACTTTTAAAGCTGCCGCCTGCACCAGTAACCGTGAGTAAACCAGAGCCCAACAAACAAGCCCCCAAACGCTAGATTCTGAAGCCGTGGAGCCCTAATAATGCTGGCGGAGCTCCTGCTAACTGATCTGGAGCCCTCCTCTCCTTCCCCGGAGAAGTGAAGCTCTTTCCATCGAGCCCTATTAACCACACTGGTGGAGCTTTTGAACTGGATCACTTGGAGCCAGCGGAGTGCAAACAGCGTACCTTCATTTAAATCCCTCACACAGCTGATAGAAGTATCTTCCACACCAGACAACATATTTCCATTAATATCCCCCACACAGTTTCCCCGGAGCCACATCGGACAGCTGGCAGGGAGAAACAAGGAGGGAGGAGAAAGCCCTGAGGCTCTTAGGAGCTGAAAGTCACCCTGGACGGGTGGTAAAGGCAGAGGAATGCTTTGGTGGTCGCGAGGAGAAGAGTGTCTCCTCGACTGACCCGAAGAAAACCCCTCCATCCGAACTAAAAAGAGAACTGCCAGCATGGCTAAATCGAAGCCAGGAAGGCAGCTGACAAAGAAGTGAAAAATAAAGGAAAGTTCTTGTAACAGTGTGCTTAGTCTTGGTAAGAATCACTCCAATTTCTGCAGTGGAATTTTCCTTGGAAAGTGGGACTCAAAGGAGGAAAATAGCTGCGATTAACGATCTGGAGTGACTGTCAGATTTAGTTTTTTTAAAAAAAAGATATTGCAACTAGAAGTAACTTTTAAAGTAAAGGACAGATTGGATTGGTTAACCCAAATTTCTGGACTGTATTTTTACTACTACTCAACTTGAAGAACTTTAGGAAACTATTGGAAAACAATCTTATTCAGAGACATATTGATTGTAGTTAAAGTGTTTTAATTCAGCGAGTTTTGCTCTCTTTCAAAAATCCAGCATGCTTTGAACATCTTGTTACAGCCTATTGTTTACAAAGTAATAGCAGCAGCAATCAGAGCAATAAATTCCTCCCACCCAGTAAATCACAGTTGCTAGTAAAACAATTAACCCTTTCCTTGCAGACTCTCAGTACTACCTCATTACTTTAATCAAACACTCATTAATTGATTACCTCAAAACTTACAACTTTTCTACCTCATCACCTATATCAATGATTAGATAATCAATTTCTATTAAATATTTTATTAATGGTTTAATTGATTTATTGTTTTAATTGATTAGTGTGATTAGAGTGTTTAGTGCAAATAGTGTGATTACTGATTAGTTTAAAGGATCAAGATTCGTGTAATTTAATTGATTAGTAAAATCAGTGATTTAGTGAATTTAATTGAACAGTGTGATTAATGTTTAGTGTAATTAATTGATTAGTGATTAGTGTAATTAATTGTTTAGGCTGATTGTTGCTTAGGAAAATTATTTGACTAGAGAGATTACTGCAATTGATTGATTGGTGTGATATTGATTACCCAAAATTGTTCCATTAATTAATTTAATCAACGTACCACCTTAAAAAACCTACCATGCCAAGAAAAAAAATCCAATGCCAAACCACAACCTAAAGAGAAAGTAATCCCCACCAATGAATCACAAGACTCCTGCACATGCCTTAAATGCTACAAAACTCTAAAGGATAATGAAAACTCCATCAAATGTTCTCTATGTAACAAATACTCTCACCATGACTGCTTGGGATTACCCGAGCAAATGATTCAATACCTAGAATCATCCAATGAGTTTCCATATCTCTGCAAATCATGCAGACCCAAACTGGATCTGTTAGAAAGAGTTGGTACCACTGAAACACGAATAACATCCCTTGACACCATAGTAGCATCTCTGGACGCCTTAAAAGAAAGATTATCCAACCTTGAAAAAAAAGACACAATGCAAAAACCTGAACATCCAATAGCTACAAACTACATCTCTACCCAACAACCACAACCCAATCCACAACCCAATCCACAAAAAAACATAAGCTGGACAAATATTGATATCCCAATCCTCATCAGAGAAGCTGTTGAGCGTGAATGGAAACGTCCAAACGCCATCTTATTTGGTCTAGAGGACATCAATGATAATGATGACATCACAACTGTCCGAAACATCATCAGTGATTATCAAGCATCAACCATCTCCTCTGATGAAATACTTGACATTTCCTGCATTGGCCGAGAGCTCAAAAACAGAGACGGCTCTGTGGCCCCATGCTTCTGCAGGGTCATTTGTGAAAATGAATCAAGCAAACGTAAATTCATTTACACTATAAATTCACTTGCCAAAACCAACACCAACCATAAGAACCTCTGTTGTCGCCCTGACCTAACCATACAGCAACGTGCCCGCTCCTGTGTACTCTGCACTGAACTCAAAAAACGTCTAGACAATGGAGAGAAGGACCTGTACATTGACTACCATGCTGACTGTATCAAAAGTAAGTCACACAACCCGCAACTCAGCTTTAACCTTCAACCACAACCCTACCTCATCCAATCCACCATCACCCAAGACTAGGCACGCACGCCCCTAACTACCTCAGTTCCAACTACTGCTGGCCTTAAATGCAAGCTACTCAATGCAAGAAGCCTTGCGAATAAAATACCTGAATTTTTCTTCTTACTAAATATGGCTAAATTCGACATCATATTTGTCTGTGAAACATGGCTCAACGCATCTCTCCCTGACTCCATTACCACAGTAAGAGACTATCATGTTTACCGATCAGATCGTGAAATTCATAGAGGAGGTGGTGTTGCTATCTTCTATAAAAAGTCCTTACACCTGAAAAATATCCAAGTTACCCAGGAGCTTGCTCTTCCTGAGACCCTCATCTGTGAACTATCCTTAAATATCACATTTCGATTCTTACTATGTTACAGAGCACCTGATTATGACATCGAACATGTAAACAAGCTAAATACACTACTAACATGGGCAGCATCCTGCCCATACGCTTTTATCTTTCTTGGTGATTTCAATCTACTTCATATTGACTGGACCCTAAATGAATGTACAACTGAACCCATACACACAACCTTCTACACCGCTGTTACAAATCTGGGACTGGAACAACTAGTAACCAACAACACTAGACTAAACAACTGCCTCGATCTCATCTTCTGCAATAGTTTGAATTTAATTTACAGAATACAAACTAAAGAACCCTTTTTCAGCAGTGACCACAATATGATTGACTTTTGTCTCAAAATACGCCCACACAAAAATCACCACAATGATGTAATCCCCAATTATAACTTCAAAAAAGGCAACTATGATCTTATAGACAACGATCTCTCATCCCTTGATTGGGAATCTCTATTCATTGGATGCAATACTGTTGAAGACCATTACAACATATTTTTACTTGAAGTAAAAAGAGTCATCAAACTATATGTACCAACAACAACTCCCAAAACAAAACAAAAAAAAATTACCCATAACAATAAGGAAACTTCAATCCAAAAAGAGATCACTCTGGCGGAAAAACAAATCTGGTCACGTTGCCAATTTCAAAAGCTGATACAAAAATCTATGCCATCAGATAAAGACTGAATGCACCAATTATCACATTAAACAAGAGGAAAACCTTCTATGCACCAATTCCACCCGCGCTTTTTACAATTTTGTAAACAACAAACTAAAAGACTCAAGGTCCATCCCACCCCTGATAGAACCTAATGGTAAAGACTGCAACGACGACACCATTAAAGCCAACATCTTTAACACATTCTTCAGCTCAGTATTTGTAAACAGCAATGGATCATGCCCAGTATTTCCTATCCGAACCACAGATAACTACAATGATCTAATACATATCGATTTTACAGAAGACAATGTTGAAAAAGCACTACACAATCTAAAACCATCTCTATTGGACCGGATGGAATATGTGCCTCCTTCTTAAAAAAGCTATCCACTGCCATAGCTGAACCTCTAAGCATAATCTTTGAAAAATCTTTCAGGACCATCTCCTTGCCTAACCTATGGTCACAAGCCACGGTCATCCCCATCTTCAAAAAGGGAGACCTCAGCCTAGTTGAAAATTACAGACCAACCTCCTTATGCTGCGTCACCTATAAAGTCATGGAATCAATTATTAACCAATCCATTATCCTCCACTTAGAGGCAAACAACCTACTTTCCAATAAACAATTTGGTTTCAGGAAAAAACTGTCCTGTAATCTGCAACTCTTACACTGCAAAAACATATGGATGACACAACTCGATCAGGGCAAAGCAATAGACGTAATCTACATAGACTTCTGTAAAGCCTTTGATTCAGTGGTACACGACAAACTACTCCTAAAAATAAAATCTTATGGTATCTCTGGACAACTGCATAACTGGTTAGAAGCATTCCTGTCAAACAGACAACAAATGGTCAAAATTGGGAGTGTCCTATCAAATTCTGTACCTGTCAATAGTGCTGTCCCCCAAGGCAGTGTTCTAGGACCAACTCTCTTCATACTCTACATAAATTACCTCTGTGATCATATTAAGAGCAACTGCGTTCTTTTCACCGATGATGTAAAGCTGTTCAATACCACAGCCAATACTGCTACCCTTCAAACAGATCTTGACTATGTATCAGAATGGTCAAACAAATGGCAACTTCAAATCTCAACAAATAAATGCTCTGTTTTACATATTGGCAAACAAAAATCAGAAAATAAAATACAAGCTGAATAGTCAAGATCTTGTTGATGATCCAAGCTCTGTAAAGGACCTTGGAATACTCATTTCTAATGATCTAAGTGCTAGAGCCCAGTGTAACTACATAGCCAAAAAGGCATTAAAAGTTGTTAACGTAGCTTTTTCTCTGGTAATATCACACTACTAACTAGAGCATATAAAACATTTGCTAGACCAGTACTCAAATACAGTTCATCAGTCTGGAACCCACATTACGTATCTGATATTAGCACAGTTGAGAAAGTCCAGAAATATTTCACAAGAAGAGTTCTCCACTCCTCTACTCATTGTAGAATACCTTATGCCACCAGACTTGAAATTCTAGAACTAGAAAACCTTGAATTACACCGTCTTCGGTCTGATCTAAGTATGGTATACAAAATCATACATTGCAATGTCCTACCTGTCAATGAATACTTCAGCTTCAACCATAACAACACAAGAGCACACAATAGGTACAAACTCAAGGTTAACCGCACCAAACTTGATTGCAGGAAATACGACTTCAGCAACAGAGTGGTCAATGTCTGGAATACTCTACCTGACTCTGTAGTTTCTTCCCCAAACCCCAAAAACTTTAACCTTAGACTGTCTACTATCTCACCCCTTTCCTGAGAGGTCTGTAGGGGGCGTGCATAAACGCACCAACGTTCATACCATCCCTGTCCTATTGTTTCTTTCATTTTTCTTATATGTACCCATTTCATGTATTCATGACTATGTATATACTTATACTTATTATCTTGTAAGCAATTGACAAATCAAATAAATAAATAAATAAATTACTTTCTTCTGATTACTATACCTTTGATCTCTGTAGATCCTGACTGGGGAGAGTGTTGGCATCAAGATGTTTGGCTATTCCTTTTCTGGAGGGCTGGATATTGATGACAACTTTTATCCAGATCTCCTAGTGGGCTCACTGTCTGACACAGTAGTATTGTACAGGTAAACCTGGAGGTGTGTGTGTGTGTGGGGAGGGGGAAGTAGGGAAGCGATCTTCAATAATCAAATTGCTTAAAGGAAAGCTAATTTGGTGACTTTGGGCCTACAAACAAGGAGGGTCTTGTGGAGAAAAAAACAGGAAGATGGAACAGTGTGAGCTCCCATACAATAAGCAGGATAGAAATGCCCTCTGAGCACAAGAAGGAGATGGGGTTTGGGAATTCCACCATAAATTATGATTACATCTGTATATAACCTATATGACTGTCATCTCTTAACTGTTGTGGTTACAGCTGGAAATAGATTTGAGGAAAACACGACAAGGACATAAAGGACCATATTGTATTTCTGCCATAAGTGTGAGAACGTTTCCATCCCATTTGGATGTTTAGTTAGTTGAGCATTGACAAATGCTGTCAGAATGTGCATAAGCACACAATCGTGCCTACCGTCCCTGTCCTGTTGTCCCCAATTACTAGTTCCTGTTTCATGTATTTAAACTTATGTTTATTCTTATTCCTATCATATTGTAAGCGTTTGACAAAATAAATAAATAAAAATAAAATAAATAAAAAACTCACCTGTATTTAACATTTTGGGCTCCAGTGAGCCTCACTGTCTGCAGCCGGCTCAGTTTCTTACTACTATCCAATGTATTTTTTAGATCTCGACCTGTCATCCATATCTCCAGAAATATCACTGCCAACCCCCAAAATGTCGACCTGGAGAATATTATCTGCCGCTATATGGAGGGCATCTGGTGAGGACAATCTCCTCTTCCTTGGTTGTATCGCTTCGCTTCTGCAACCCTTGCTATTCCTTTTCTTTGCGAACACCGAGCAGATGTTTCCTGAATATGCCAGTAGCTATGATGCTTTTTCAAAGAATATTCCATGACAGTGGTTCTCAACCTTTTCTTCACAATGTACCCCCTGTAAATACCTTTTGTAGCCATAGACCAGGGGTGTCAAACTTGATTTCATTGAGGGCCGCATCAGGGTTGTGTTTGACCTGGGTGTGTGTGTGTGTGTGTGGCCAACTTGAAGTCACTCGTGTTGGGGCACCTGTGCTGGCCTGAGCGCTCTGTTTTTGGCTGGGATGGTCTCCTGCAACCCTCTGCCAGCGAAAACAGAGCTCAGGAGGGTTGCACACGGCCCTTCTGAGCTCCATTTTCACTGGCAGAGGCAATGCGGGCCGTTCTTCACTGTTTCTAGGGCGTCCCTATGGGCCAGATGTAGGATCTGGCCCACAGGCTTTGAGTTTGACACCCCTGCCATATACCATGGCCATGGGCCCCCCAAGACTTTACTCAAGATTTAAATCATAACATTTCTTCACGTCTTCGCGGACCACAGGTTGAGAACCCCTGTTCTATGATAAGAAAATGATCTATGATGTTTTTCTGGGCCTGTTCATTACAATCCCAGGAAAAAAACAGACTTGATACGCCTTCAGATGTAACAGGCACCTACCCTTTGCATGTTTCAAACCACTTTTGAGCTTAGTTGCTGCATAGCCCAGGCTAATAATCTTCCAATGCTGAATGAGCATTTTTAGGAGTGTGTTGCTCTATTGTGTGCTTTGTGATTGGGAAGCAGTGCAGAAAACAGGAGAATAAAATTTGTAAATTCTTGCCCTGGAGTAAAACCAGAACGTCATCATGAGAACCAAAAGATTGAATTGGAGTTGCCGGGCCATTGTGATGGTGCTGTAAATAATTAGTTTTTAAAAGGCCAGGGCCTACTTTCCTTCTTTCTTTCTGCTTTCTTTAGCAGTGTGGAAATACAAGCCTGTTTCATCTATACAGCCAAACCTTCAAGCTATAACCCACCCATCAGTGAGTATTGTCTGGAACCTTCCAAGTTTCTTGGCTTTTCGATATCCTTATAGTCTTGGTTTTGTGTCACTGTTTCAACACCTCAATCATAACAGTGTTAGAGAATTAGCCCCGTTGTAGTTGGTGCACTATATCCTATGGCCTGTGTAGTAGATCAGCCTCTTAAAATTGGGCCAGGGAATCCCGTTCAAGGCTTCAACAAAATAAATGTGGACACCACTAGAAATAACTTCTGGTCTCTTCTCTTTCACCTTCTCCTCGGCCTCTCCTTCTTCCCCTAGGACTTGAATACAGTTTTGAGGCTGATGGTGACCGTCGGCAACAAGGAAAAACTTCTAGAGTCTTTTTCCGATATCAACAGGCCAAAGACCTTGAGCATCAGTACTCTGGGATACTGGAGCTGCCCAAACAACAATCAAAGGTCTGCGCAAAGGCCATCCTGCAGCTGAAGGTGAGAGTCATAGCCGATCTTGCTGGGTCTCTTAAGTTCTTCATTTCCATAAGCCACTTAAAAATAGGTGACTTTAAGCAATGTAAATACCTAAGTAGATGTCCTTGGTTTGTTCTAAATGAGCCATAAAAGAAGCTGGCTTAACATGTGTGTGGTTGACAAGTTCCAGGATGCTATTCTAGGGTGACATAAGCAGTTCCCCATTTTGCCTTTTGTTGTTGGTGGAACAACTTGGAAATAGAAAGATGGAAGGTGGATAGTTTACCCCAGGCAGCTACACAGACCCTGCCACCGTGTTATTTGAAGCTTCTCTGAAATCACCATGAGCTGAACTTGAGAAAGAGACAAGTAAGCCAGGAGGGTGCTTTTGGTAGATTTTGGGTAACAATATATTGTCATAAAATTCCTTGAGTGAACAAGATCTTTGTTCTAACAACAGAGGATTTTCTATCCTTGGCTCTTCTGTGTAGGTGGGAGGGAAGGCTTGATTTATTTCAGGCTCCCTTTTTCAATGTTTAATTTCCATTTATAAAATATGGCCTGCATCCAGGGTTATGTCAGTGAATCTTTACTTACACAATGGTATTTCCTCTTTCTCGGTAGATCTTCTCAAGCCTCCAAAGCAAATTAAAGGGTGGGAGTGGACAGCAAGAGTCCTTTGTCCACAAACATGCTGTTGGACCTAGCCTCCGTTTCAAGATTTTTCACTTAGTTAATTCCTTTTAAAAGGCCTTCATTAGGAAGCTGTTTTATTCTGATCTTCCCGTGTTATGTCTGAGAAGTCCAGAGTAATGACTCCTTTAAAAATTCCTGGCCCGTTTTTTAGCATCCAAACAATAGACCAACCTATAAGACCCATCTGCATTTAGGTTTTACCATATTGCGCCGATTCCTACAATTCCCCCATCCAATTAAGCTTTTCCACCCTAACATTTCTAACAGCCTGTTATTAACCACCACATCCTGCCTGAAATATTGGCTATGAATTCACAGCTGTGGCCTTTTGTCACCATGGCACTCAAAGGAACTAAGTAACAGGGGCAGAAATTTAAGGCATGCAGAATTTGTCGTAAAATATTCCGGGACGGAAGCAGACCATTCCTCCTGGAATAGGCCATTCCAAGTCTTCCAGAAGAGCAGCTCAGAAAAGGAATCTGTTCCGAATGTTATTCTAAGGAACTCTTATATTAGAAGGACTCCCATTTCCAGATCAGACCAGTTCAAAGTCACTTTTGGCTTTTGAGTATATTACAATAAACATTTTGAGAGTTGCATTCCAAAATGGTTTTAGGGAGGCAACGTATATTGTGATTGTCATTATTATAGGAGCAAGTCCGGGACAAGCTCCATCCCATTGCTGTGATGATGACCTACAACATCAAGCATGGCCGCAGCAGACGGCAGATCTCCGGGGCTGCCCTGAGGCCTCTCTTGCCGGTACTGAATGCCGTGCCACACAACTCTCAGAGGATTGAGGTAGGCAAGCATCCGAAGACAAGGTTATCTGAAGGAGAGGTTCCCTCCCCCCTTGTTCACTGGTTAACTAGGAGAGAAAGCAGGCTCTATTAATCATTGCTATTACTGTTTCAGAATCCCTTTGTTATGAGGTTGAATAAACAGTTGAGGATAAGGAGTCAAATAAGAAAAAGCTGTGGCTGGTCCTGTTTTTTGTATATAGAGTTATGGATCTATTTGCATGCCACATTCTTCCCAAGCAGCGTGCAATGCATGAAGCACATAAAAGTTGCTGATAATGTCATAAGCTACTGAAGGCTTGAAAAAAATGTAGCATGAAATTGCAATATCCCACCCCACCCCATCTCGGGCAAACTGCAGGAACATTTAAACACAAATTATGTGTTTCAATTAATTATGCATTTTATTATAGGTGCCCTAGGGTTTCTGGGGGAAAGGGGATGATTCAAGCCTGTTTAAAGACAAGAATTTCTCTTGCTGTTCAATGCGCCTTTTGCTATTTTTATATGTATTATATATTACTGCTTAGTTGGGCGATGATGTGGCTGTGTTTACAGAATAACAAAAAGCCAGTTAGTCACAGCTTGCTAAATTTTATTGCCACTTTCTAAGGAGATAATCTGCAATAATTGCATCATCTATTCCCTTATTATAATGGTAGCCTCATTTGTATCAATTACAATTGCCATTTTTCCTGTTTGCATGACTCATGACTCCCTTAAACATGTTGCTTTTGGGGCCAATATTTGCAGTTTGATGGGGAGGCCCAATAAGTTTGCAATCAGAAGACGCCAGGATCCTTTATAGCATATAGCTAACAAAGACACATTTCTTAGGAGAACAAAGAAGCAGCCTTGACTACTCACTATGAGCCATCCTTTGCCAAACCTTGCAGAATTCCTCTGGAGTTACTTCTCCTTATAGCTGTGTTGTTTGACTTTGAAGCCGTGTGTTCCTGCAGGTCAATTTCCTCAAGCAAGGGTGTGGGGAGGATAAAATCTGCCAAAGCAACCTGCAGCTGAAATACAAGTTCCACTCTCGTGTTGATGATGCCGTGTTCCAACCTCTACCCAGGTACGAACAAAATCCAAATTCCCATTTGATGTTGTAACAGTGATGTTGTGTCTCGAGATTCTTCTAGGATTCTAGAACTATTAATGTAGCTTGATGTGCCAAAGAAGAAGAACAGAAACGAATCTCCATTTCCAAGGTGGCTTCACAGTTTCAGCTTTTTTGGAGGTATTGCCCTTAATTAGCCTAGACTACGGAGGAAGGGCCAAAGACCATTTGGGAAAAGAATTTCAGGGGTTTTAAGAGGTAAGATGAGTGCGCGAAGGAACTGCAATAAGAAGCCCACATTATGAAGGAGCCCTGGCTGAAGTTGGTATAGGTTAACAAGAGCTAATCCAATTAGGAATTCTCATTTTGACTATTTCCTAACTTGCCAGAATTACGTTAGATCAACATTTTAATTATCACCCTTGTTTCTTTCCTCCAGAGGTGATGATGGCTTGGACGTTTTTTCTATGAGTGACCAAAAAGGCATAGCCCTTGGAATCTCCATCACCAACTTTCCTTCAGTCGCTGCTGAGCCGCAGCGGGATGGCGATGATGCCCATGAAGCCATGCTGCTTATCTCGCTGCCATCTACCTTGACTTATGCTAGTCTGCGGCCGTACAATGCCACGGTACCTTTTGGAAAATGCTGCATGGTGTAGCCCATGGGGAGAGCCCAGGGAAGGGGCGGCCTGAAGGACCGATTGACTGCCAGAAGCCTAACGATGTTGGAGAGATGGCAGCGTCACCTGAGATGGAAAGCCGAGTGGAGTTTAAAAGATGTGATTCTCAAGGGATTGAGTGACACAGTGAAACAGATTGTTAAACACCGTACAGCATCTGGGTTTGGGAATTAGTAGTGCTGTCGGTGGGATTTGAAGAAGGATTCCAGCTGGGCTGGCATGCTGGTACTGGGAGTTACAACACAGAGATGGAATGTATAGCTCTGTGGGGTATGACTAAAGATACTATTGTTAAGCTGCAGAGGCAAGGGGAGAATGCTTCTGGGGACAGGGAAGGGTTGTGCCAGGATAACAGAGACCCATAGAGAGTTGCACAATTATAAAGCCCAGAAGTTATGGGGATGATAGGGCCAATGAGAGTTGCATTGGAATATTCTCAGTTTTAGAGAAGTGGATAAAGTAGGATTGCACTTGCATTATTTAAAAAAGCACCGGCAAGAGTGATTTTTGAACAATGGTATCATTCTGATGATAATGTCAGAGAAGTGCCACTGTTTTTTCCTCTGGGGATAGAAGCACTTTCAGGGCTGTGTGTATATTCAGGTACAGATTCAGAATATTTAAATGCGTTTTTAGCCTTTATTACTGTTTGAAGAGAGGAGATAATGTATTCTGAAATTCTTGATACTTTCTCTCCCAGATGCATGCACACACTCTCACACAAGAAAAAAAAAAAGACAGGCTACATAAGTTCCTAACGTTCTGTTGGGTCCAATCTTGGCTATATTTTTCTCAATTCCTTCAAATGCCAGATTTTGGAAGAGTAAGATACATACGTGTTCAGATATGCAAAGGCTGATTGTAGTTGAACCTGTCTTGCTTTTCATAGGAGAAGATCCCAACCTGTGTGTCTAACCAGAATGCTACACGTGTGGAATGTGAGCTTGGCAACCCCATGAAACGTGGAGCACAGGTGAAGGGCAGTTCCTCTTTGTTTCTTTCTCTGCAAAACAGAGTTTCCTTTACTTCTCTAGAACTCATACTTCCATCCCTGCTTTTTTTCTTCTTTTTACCTCCAGTTTCAGTTCTACCTTGTTCTGAGTACTTCAGGCATTACCTTGGAGACCACAGAACTGGAAGTAAACCTAGAATTGACTACGTGAGTAATTCCTTTCTGGAATCTCTTCCAAAAAACTATTTTGTTTCCCAGGACTTAGGAATGTTTCAGTCTTCCTTGCTTATGCAACACTAGCCTGTTTCCTTCAGGGTAATCTCCTTGACTGTATACTACATCATAGCCATGTGATCAAATCAATCCCTAAACCCTTTCTTTATGGGCACTGCATGTAAAAAGAAGTGGAGCTTTAGCTGAGTGGTTGTAGTCACAGTCTTGGTATTTTTTACTTCTCTCTGGCTTGTCCCCATTCCCTACACAATTTAATCATGCTAAGGGACTAAGAAAGAAATATTCCCAGGCCAAAGCTTGGATTTACTTGAGTTTCATATATTTAGGAGAGCAGAGCTTCTTCGAATCAAGTTTGCATGGGTGTCAGGGAATAAGCTGAATATGAGTGAAAGAAATTGAACTGTCCCCTTGACAAAGACAGGATATGACTTCAATGAACACAAATAAATGCAGGCAATCTTACCCTGCTGAACTCCTGTGTTTCCTTCCTCCCAGGATCTCCGAACAGCCTGCGCTGGCCCCAGTGGCAGCTCGAGCCCGTGTGATCATAGAGCTTCCTCTGTCAATTACTGGGTAAAAACAACTTGGGAAGTATTTGTTTTGCCCCAAATAATTAGGTCAGGTTAAGATACATTGTTCACATGACTCTTAAAAATGACTGAAATAAGCTACCTTTTTCATTCAGCCAAACAGCCTGGGACTGTGATGCTGAACCTTTGGTCAGAAATTCTTAACCTTTGAAATTTTCTGACTGTTGAAAATTCAGAAAATGCCTACCTTGATTCTGCTGACGTGTCTCACACCCACACCCACACCTACCCACACGGACAAAAGAGAAACATTTGATAAGAAAAGAGTAATAAATGACATTAAATTATTTAAATTTGCCATTGAATAGATCAATAAACAAATACATAGTTCTAAATATTTTTAGAAGTGCCTGTCTGAGGCACCTTCGAGGCACTTGAGGCCTGGAAGCTCCGGAGAATGCTCTTGAATGGCCTTGCAGTCTCAGAAAAGAGTGGGAAAACCCCATTCTTACTTGTTTCTTGGAGGTCTTGGGGGCCTCAGGAGACCAGGCCTTCTCCTTCAACTTCCAGAGGATCCAAAGGCCTGGCATGTCATAAAAAATGGCACGGGTGTGTTGTCAATGGCCTAGAACTGTCTGCGGGATGTGAATGGCTGACTTTCTAGCCTTCTGTCTGTCCCTTGAGACTTTTATCCATCTCTCTGCAGACTGCCTGAACCAAAGCAACTCTTCTTCAGTGGGGAAGTCCGGGGCGAAAGCGCCATGAAGAAGGAAAGCGACGTGGGCAGTCCAGTGAGCTTCAATGTGACGGTGAGTGATCCTGATGCCTTCAGAGCAGAGATGTAGTATCATGATTGCAACACCTTCACGTTGTAGTCACCCGTTATGTTTGGACAAGGTTGAGGCAACCTTGTCCCCTCTGGTCAGTAATAAGGATTGTAAGGTTAACAAAAAATGGTATTCAAAAATAAATGTTGATGATATTTAGAATAATGATCTCCTATGCTTCAGCTAGTTTGGGCCAGTGGTTAAGGCATCAGGCTAGAAACCGGGAGACTGTGAGTTCTAGTCCCACCTTAGCCATGAAAGCCAGCTGGGTTAGTTTGGGCCAGTCCGTCTCTCTCAGCCCAACCTACCTCACAGGGTTGCTGGAAAATGGGAGGTGGAAGGAGTATTAAGTATGTATTGAGGCACTAATAAAGTAATAAATGTGGGATGAAAATCTAATAAAATAAATAATACTTCCTAATCTAGGTGTCACCAACACCCAGTCCACAGCCCTGCACTATTGGGAACTGGGCCGTGCAAGCAGCAGGCAAGCGCATGAGCGTGCAAAGCTGCATTTGTGCAAGTGGCACATGCACACGCACAAAACCATTCTTTCTACCTTGCTGCCACCAGTGCCATTGGCCTGGAAAAGTTGGGGATTGCTGTCCTAATCAATGGTTCCAGGTTTTAAAAAATAGTACTGTAATTATGTTTAAACTAAAAAACTTGATTAGTTTAGGGGCAAAATCTCTTTTGAACATATTGGAACTCTCTGAGAATGTTTTTTAAAAATGGCTCATGCTGTTTTTATGCTGGAGATATAATTTTGAAGGAACTTTGGTGCATATGTTATGGGCTTCTTCAAAGAGAGTTAAGGATTAGAACAGCAGTATTTGTTAAATTATGTCTTCAACATCTGGAAACTTTCACTCTATGGAGAACACTGGATATATTTTGCTTGAGCTGTGGCAAAATGTGATTATGTATTAATGGAAAAATGTCTGTATCCTCTGTTTCTTCTAAATGTTAACTTAATGAAATTTGTCAGCTCTCAGCCTTTATACTATTAGTTCTGTACTGATGGAGAGGCAAGACTGGGCAATATGATTTGCTATGATCCAGGAACCAAATTTAAAAATGGAATCACATCTTAGGAAAAAGATGAAGAAAGGAAGTTTCTTTTCTTTTCTTTTCTTTCTTTCTTTCTTTCTTTCTTTCTTTCTTTCTTTCTTTCTTTCTTTCTTTCTTTCTTTCTTTCTTTCTTTCCTTCCTTCCTTCCTTCCTTCCTTCCTTCCTTCCTTCCTTCCTTCCTTCCTTCTTTTTCTCTTTCTTTTTCTTTCTCTCTCTATCTCTCTTTTTCTTTCTTTTGCTTGTATAGACATATTTAAATATTAGTTAAAATATAAATTATATAGATGTTTAGCTTTGTTGTCTTGACTTTTTTTAATACAGCATTTCTCCTAGATTTCATTATTTCCTATGGAATAAGATATAGGATGTGAAAGATACACAACTGTGAGCTAGAATTCCTTTGTGGCACCCAATTTTTGCTATATATTACTGATTTACTTCTAAGGAAAAAAGTGAATTGAGAAGTCTTCCCTATATTCTTTAACAGAACCCAAATACCTCTTCTTTATTTTATTAATTCTTGGATTATTTATCTTTCAAGATGGTTAAAAATGTGTTTTTAAAAGGCAAGGTTCTTTTTTCTTTTACAATTTCTATCCTGTATTTTTACTTTAAAAGGATTTGTTAGAAATACTGAATTAGGGAGATGTGATTGACCATGTAAATATGATCTCCTGAGTTGCTTATCTTTTTCTTTGCCTCTACTAGGTCTCAAACAGAGGCCAATCCTTGAGCACCCTGGGCTCTGCCTTCCTCTACCTCATGTGGCCGTATGAAATTTCAAATGGAAAATGGCTTCTTTATCCCCTTAAGATGGAGTTATTGAGCCATTCCCAGCATCGTTCAACCTGTACCCCTAATCCCAACCCCCTGAGCCTGACTCTGGTAAGTACCATGGATTCAGATAAGCAATAGGATACAATGTCTAGTAAAAATAGTGGACATCCTCCTTTTACTTTTAAGAGCAAATATATTTAGGGGTGCCAAGTCCCAGATACTCTCCATTATTTATAATATAGAAAGCACCCTTTCAAATATTGGTTGTTTCTTTTTGCGAATATATTTGCTCTCCCTACCACAGATGCTTCATATTCAGGGCACACATCTGCAAAAGGGAAATGTCATTTATGTAGAAATATTCATGGTTCCAAAATTATTGTTGTAACTCAACTGAATACGTTCATTATCAGAAACTTAAATATATCTCAGTTGTACACTGTTTTCAAAAGGACAATCAATTTCATTTTCAATTAGAATTCTGCCCATTGCATATTTTCTTTATGGAATAGCTAGATCTAGTCCATTCCTGCAGCCCATGGAAGAATTTCAGATCCCCTCGGCTTCATCTGCTTGCATCCTTTCCAGCCATTGTTTACTTTCTGGGGAAGCTGGCAGAAATGATTGCAAATGGCGATCACATGATTGTGGTGCACTTGGCAAACAGTTGTATATGTGAGCCAGTTGCCAAGAACCCAAAATTAGCTCATGTAACAGAGGAGGGAGCGGCAATATTTTATGGGCCGTAAATCACTTTTCTGAGGTCCTTGTAAGTTTGAATAGTCTTAAATGACCGATCATACATCAAGTAGTGGCTGTAGTGTAATATTAGCACAACAATGGTTGAATGATGATAGAAGAAGTTATAAATCACTAATGGGGAAATAACTGTAAGATCTATTAAAAACATTAATACGCATTTATTGATTTGCTTATTTGTTTCTTTCAGGAACTTTTATAACTTTCAGTCCCTGAACCTCTCAAAACAGCTTATGTACCAGCAATAAAAATGACAGGCTAACAAACTGAAGAAGATATGACCAAAAGAAAATGGGAGGGGAAAAAGGAAGAGGGAAGGGGGAAAAAGCCAATCCTTGTCTTTTTGCAAACCAGTTATCTGCAAATTCGTTTTGTTTTGTTGAGAACAGAAAATAGCAAATGTTTGCAGTGTCCCTCATCCAATGTTGTTGTTTTTCAGGAACCACCTCCTCCAGGAAGGAAGAAACGTGAGACTGAGCAGGCAGAAATGTCCAGCCCATCACTGACTTATTGGAAAGGACGAAAAAATGCTACCTTAGTAAGTGAAGTTCGCTGTTTGTCAGGACCATGTGTATTCCACACCATCTCTGCGAAAATGCCCTGAAAGCAGTGAAACTGCTCTGCATGACATTTAGTGTCTCTTTGGTCTGCTGGGAAGTAGTGGCAAAGATACAGGAAATCTGCTAAAGATGACAAAACTCTGATTTTCTGAAAAAAGAGTCTTCAGAAGCTAGACTTAGAAGCGAAATCATGGGAGTTTCAAAAAATTACATATAAATACAGCTGATCTGCCTTTTACAGTGACTTTACAGGTGGCTTACAGCATAATAAAAAGATAAAACAATTAAAAATTAAGAAAAAATAAAACTTGGGCCTGTTGGCTGGCCTGATTGGCACACTCTAATGCTGGTGTGGCTGATGGGATAGAGAGAAGATTCCCAGGGCTAAAAAAAAGCCCCAAGAGGACAGGCAACATGGGGATGGGGATCTTCTCTCTATCCCATCAGCCACCAGCATAGAATGCACCAATCAGGGCTCTGGCCAGCCAACAGAGCCAAGTTTTAAGGCTGTTATAGAAGGCCAGGAGCAGGGGAGCTTCCCTCAGCTTGGACAAAAGAATATTCCAAAGGGTGGAGGTCACAGCAGAAAAGGCTGTTCTCCTGGACCCTGCCAGCCAAAATTCTTTGGCAGATGGGATCCAAACTAGGCTTCTTTTTCTGGAGCAAGTGGGATGGCTCCTGAAATACCATAAAGGGCTTTAAAGGTGATAACCAATATCTTGAACTGGGCTGGAAGCAGACTAGCAAGACTAGTGTAGTTTGTTCAACAGAGATATTACATGTGCCATCCAAGGGGCCTTCAGAACTGTCTGCGCATCATTCTGTAAGAGCCATGGTGGCCCAATGGTTAGAATGCAGTATGGCAGACTAACTTCCACTGCTAGCTCCAGGAGTTTGATTCCCACTGGATCAAAGTTGACTCAGCCTTCCGTCCTTCTGAGGTCGGTAAAATGAGGACCCAGATTGTTGGGGGCAATATGGTAACTGTGTAAACTGCTTAGAGAGAGCTGTGAAGCACTATGAAGCGGTATATAAGTAAGCACTATTGCTATTGCTGTACTGGTTGTAGCTTCTGAATATGCTTCAAGGGTAGCCCAGTGCAGAGCACCATACAGAGGGCTATGTCATCTGTGGCTATTGCAAAAATCAAACTCCTCCCTCCTTATTACTCAAATTTTCTGGTCAAAGGCTTGGAACAGATATTGTGAGCTACAGCTTCAACACAATTAACATGTTTTTCTCTAGTCCTGGAATTGGCAGAAAAATATTCTGACAAAACATGTGCTGCCCCAATGACCAAAATGCAGTCTACTTGAATAATGAAGATTGCAATTAGTCTGATCCTTAAGCTTAATGAGGGACAGTTTACGGGCAGCAGTTGGTGATTTTCTTGATTTCATTTATTCTCCCATCCAGCATCATCTTCCAGCAGAATAATAATGATCCACCAATTACTATCTTTAATTTGTGGTGTAGGTGGGATTGGGCAACTCCAAGTAGATGCCCAGGATAGAGAATTTTAGTAACTTTAAAGCTGCTGGAGTGACAGCTTGGTGGTGTGGAAGTGCTCCATGACAGTAACCTGTCACTTCTGAATATGGTTCTTTTGTTCTTCTACTAGAGGAGTAAAACTGTGTGTAGTAAGATTATGATTGACAGATTGCTGAGGTGGAGGGTGGGTGGGATAACATAGGAGGCACTTTTCTAGTGCATTGAGAGAAGCTCATTTCTGCTTAACTCACATTCCTGTTCCGACTCATAAACCAATAAGGCAGGCAGAATTGTTTTTATTTTTTCCAGATTGGTTCTGTCTCCAGGGAGAATTAGTTCTTTAATGAATAAAAAAAGACCAGCGATGTTTCAGAAAAGAATCAAGCTTGTATTTTGAAATGAGGTGATCTTCCAGAAGAATTTTAAACCCATTCATATAAGGAGTTTGCATAATGCCTGAATGGCACTTTGCTGGATGGGTATTAGGGAAACAAATACTTATGTGGAAATCAGGCATTATTACACAGTCTAAGTCTCAATGGGCATGGAGGCAGTGTCCATACAGAAAGAGACATGGCCACAGCAGTCTAAAGTAGACAACAGGAATTGGGCAGATCTTGACCACACCATTAATTCTTTTTTTATTTATCTCCAAAATTAAAATTACAAAATAGAAAGAAAAAACCCACCTGTTGGTTGTTGTTTTTTGACAACATAATGGTTGATATTGTGAAAAAAGCCGCATTATGGATAGTTCCTGTGGGAAAGTCTTGGGTTGGGGAAGGGGGAAAAACACTAACAGAACAGCTGAAGACAAAGCTAAACTGCCTCCATGGTAGGCTGTGGGATGAGTTGAAGGTGAGATCATGAGCCTGTGATCTCTCAAAATGGTGAACAAGATATCTTTGTTACTGGAACATAACGAGGAACTCCTGGGATCCATGAAGTCTGTAAACTTATCTTTTTCTGAAACTAAAAACATTCAGGAATTGAATGACTTCAAGTCAGAAATGGGCAACCTTTGGTGGCCAAGGACTGATTTTTGGGAGGTGGGGTGGGGGAGACAATTGATAAGAATGAGTTAGGAGAATGGGAATGTATTATTATAGAAATAGCTACTTTATATTATTATATAAAATTAATAAGTTGAGGTTTATGCTATTACCTCCTACTGCACCAAAAGGAGTAGGAAGTCAACTCTTTTTCCCTTCTGCCCTATACTTTTCCCTTCTCTTTTTCCCTTCCTTATTTTCTTCTTTCTTTTTATATTTATTTTGTATTTTGATAAACTAATAATTATTTTTTGAAAATAAAAAAAGGAGAATGGGAATGTATGTGTCTAAATCTGTCTAATTCTGACTTACCCTGACATTTCCATCTATTATCTATGTTGTTACAGATAATTATCAGGTCAAATTTCAGAAATCATAGCCAAAAGGGGCTCCAAGGGCTATGAAAGGGGTCCAGGTGGGCCGCCCCTGCATTAAGTGAATCATGGGCTAATAAACAGGCTACTGTGATTACAGTCAGAAAGTGTCAGGAAAGGGGAATGGTCAGCACTGCGAAGCTATTCCAGTGAAGTGCCTTTTATAGAAAACACTGCCATAATGGGAGAAGGATATCTCTGCTGTAGATGAGACTGTCAGATAGTCTTTTCCTTCCTGACCCTAATCACATTTCACATCAATCACATTTCCCCTTCCTTCCTGCTTCAGGACTGTGTGTTAGGCACTGCTCGATGTCTGCTATACAAATGCCCCCTCTACAGTTTTGAGCGTTCAGCTGTGCTTACCATCTGGGCCCGTCTCTGGAACAGCACCTTCCTGGAGGTCAGTGTGACTCCCCCTGTTGGACGTTAGAAGAACAGAATCACATGTAAACTGACAAGACCCAAAGGGCATTTCCTCAAGGCCAGTTAATATCCGCTTGTCCTGTTCTTGTATTGAAGAAAAATATATTTAATGTACGGTATTAATGTATTTTTGGTGATCCGTGAACAAGCTTTATCGAGCCTCAGCAGTAAAGCTAGGAAGCACTGCTGTCCTTGCTGACATAATGCAAAATAATTTCAAGTGTTGGCAGGTTTATTTCCCAGTGTCTTTTTCTCTCCCACCCAATATCTACTGATGGGGAAAGGAATCATCAGTCACTCCCCACAATACCTTTATGGGAGCTGAGGTAGCACTGCTTACACTGTGGCTTGCAGTCCTGAACCCCAGGGTTTTGGAACGCCATATCACATAGGAAGTGATACAGTCTTTGTGACGTTATAACTAAGAGACTGTACTGTTCCCTGCAGGGTACTTGGATGGCTTATGACTATGCTGAACCCTGTTCCTTTTCTTCCTAGGAATTTGCTCATATGACATCCGTGGAAGTGATTGTTCGTGCCAACATCTCAGTGAGCTCCACAATTCGCAACCTGGTCCTAAGAGATGCTACAACCCAGGTGGTGTAGCCTTACCACAACTGATTTCCCCCTTTGTTTCCCTTATGTAATATATAAAAAAATTGCAGCTCTTTAGGATCATTTCATCCCACCTGTTGTCCTCCAAATGTCTTGGACTTCCATTTTGATAATTTCCAGCTAATAAGGTAAAACAGTATGCTGACTGAAGCTCATGGGAAGTGAAGTAACACACGTCTGGAGCTACAAAAAGTTTATGGTGTCCATTTCCTGCCTTCCTGGACCATTTACTACTGCTGAATTAGAGAAGAGAGGGATGTTACTGAAATAATTTAAGTGCCAGATTTTGGAGAAGGCCTCACAAGTCATTGATGCCCATTAAAACAACAAGAAAGGGGCTCTGAGGCCAAAAGTGAAGGCGACCAAATCAGCCTCTTTTTAAAAATAAAATTTTTATTTTTAATACAATTATTCCATCTTCAGTTAAAGAGTGTGTTGTCTGGGTACAAATATCTTTGTTAAACAATAATCAAAATTACAACATCCTTTGTTAAATTAATATTGATTCTGCAATCTTTAACATAATAATATTCCACATATTAATTCTACAATATTAACATAATATTCAACATACTATTCATAATATTTACTTCTCTCTTTTAGCATATCTTCTTTATTTTGTTTTCCTATTTCTAACTTCCATTTTTATTATTTAACCATTGGTAAAATAGATCCCATGCCATATAGTGTTCAATTTGCTCTTTCTCCTTAATTGGCAGCATTAATCTATTCATTTCTGCACATTCTAATATTTTCCTAATCCCATTCTCATCTTTAGGTATCTCTTCACTCTTCCAATTTTGTGCAAATACAATTCTGGCAGCAGTTAATATATGAATAACTAAATATGCATTTTCCTTACTGCTTAATCAACCTCTTCAATGAGCTATGCGATTTCATATGTAACAGCAGAGCAGAACTTCTGTGAACAGCAGTGTAACCTCTACTCCCTCTTGCATGTTTCGAGTTTGCTCTCTCACTTTCCGCAATGTCTCTTCCCCAGATCCCAGTGACTGTCTACTTGGACCCTGTTGTGGCCTTGACACGAGGTGTGCCCTGGTGGATTATCCTCATTGCAGTACTAGCTGGAATCCTAGTGCTGGGCCTGCTAGTCTCCATCTTATGGAAGGTAAGCTGGCCAGAGAAAGAGCCAGTGGTGGCTGCTGAAAGGGCTTCCTCTCCCTTTACAGCCTTGATAACAAGGCAAATTTTATCTACAAACATACATGCATGCATGCTTTTTAAGTGCTTCGATGTCCCTCCAGTTGAACTGATAGTTCCAAGTTACATGATATCCCAAAGCCACCACAACTGCTGTCTTAACAGTATCTTCAGTTTCATGGTGATAATTTCTACTGTAACAATCCATTCCCTAGAGGCCATTCTTTGTAGCTGAAATGTTCCAGTGATTACATCCTTCCAGAACAATTGGCACTAGATCTGCTAGGATTCACGGTGTCTGCTAAGGAAAGAAGTATCTGTTGATGGGAGCCTCAAAATTCCCTTTCGGAGCTTGGTGGGGAGATAATATCCAATTGAATGCATCCATGAACCCTGATGGGCATTTAAAGGAAGGCTTCATCTTGTGGAGCAGAAGCATAGCAACAAGCCTGCTAATACTCTTCCTACTTCTCCCACTTCCCAGTGTGGCTTCTTCAAGAGGACCAGCCAGGTCTCCAAATACTCCACAAACTATTATCGGGCCCGGCTGGCGATACAGCCATCAGATGCAGACAGGCAGGCCATGGAGGCCTAGTGGTAATGCCTGGCCTCACCTACCTAACTGACCCTCCCCCTGTATGTGTATTGGAGTGTGTGAGAGCACCGATGACCCAGAAATAGCAAGCAATGGAATGTGGTTCCTGTAAGCTCCCCTAAGAGTACTAACGCATGTTGTGTTCACAAACAGCAACTCCACTGTCTGCGTCCCCAAGCAGAGAGGGAAGCATGTCTGCAGGACTTGGCAGTTCCTAACAGATATGAGAGTTTAACAGTCCTTGTCTGCATGTGCTATTGCTCTGTGGGATGCAAAAATATTAAAGGTCACACAGTTGTAACTCACAGTTGTGTTACATCGTGTAGCACAATGCAATTCAATATTGCATTCAATATTGAATGTCATACAATTAACACATGCATTATTAAGGGCATTATGAACAGTTGGCAAAGCCTAGAAACTTGGCAGGCATTGGCAAGATGTGTATATGCACAACACAATTCTGAATCTATTGGGGGGCATGAAAGGTGTATTTATAAAGCTTGAAGAACATTAGTTCCAATAGAAGAGAATATTTAACAGAATAACAGAAGGGCCCTTGGAAGTCTTCTAGCCCAATCCCCTGCTCAGACAGGAAAGCCTATAACATTTCACACAATTGGTTGTCCAATTTCTCCTTAAAAGCTTCCACTGTTGGAACACCCATGTTCTGGAAGCAAGTTATTCCACTGATTAATTGTTCTCACTGTCAAGAAATTCCTCCTTAGTTCTGGGTTGTTTCTCTCCTTGATTAGTTTCCATCCATTGTTTCTTGTCCTGCCTTCAGGTGCTTTGGAGAATAGGTTGACCGTCCTCTTCTTTATGGCGACCACTTAGCTATCATGCCATCCCTAGCCCTTCTTTTCATTATACTAGACACACCCAATTTGTAGCTCAGGGTTGAACTGTGGAGTCCTTGGTGCTCTCTCAGCTTGTTTTTGTGCAGATGTTTCATCACCTGGCTAACATCTTCAGTGTGGAAGAGACTGGGTTTTGTTCTTTATATACAGTAACTTGCTGTGTCAGTGTTAGTGGGGGGGTAATGTTTTCCCCTTGGTAGTTCCTTGATTGAGTTGTTGTCTACTGCTTGTTTGTCTGAGTTGGTAGTTCCTTGATGAGAATATTGTTTATTGCTTGTTTGCTTGTTTGGTGTTAATCTGTGTTAACATTAGTATTATTTCAATGTTTGTTCATAAGTCACATTAAAGGATATACTTTTGGGGCTGGATAGATGGGTGGAGCAGGACTAATGATTTGGGGCTTCAGTTGAAACCCTTCTGAATGGGACTAAAAAACAAATGGGTAACTGTGAATACAGCCCTACCCATCAAGCGTTGAGTTGTTGCATGGTGAGAAAGAACATGAAAGATGCCTAGGAATGCTGACAGTATATAAGGATACATTTTTCCAGTGGATGGGAGCACCTCATCTAATCCAGCTCTATCTACATTCTTGCCACCATCTGTAAAATGATGTGTAATTTGATCTGGCTGATTTTTCATAAGAGCTGCAGGACTCTGTTGGGCAGGAAAAAAAAATTGTAGTTCCCCATAATTCTAGTTATTAATGAAGTTACACTAAAATACAAAAACTGGGATATGGGATTCAGCATCTAGTTGTGTGCTGTAGAGCATACACGAGGGGATCTGAATATCATTGCAAGAGGACAAGTTTTAAGTTGAGTGAATCCTCCTGTCTATACATGTGTCAGAGAGCTTGATAATAGATCTGTCTTCTACACTCATCCTTTAAAGTCACCTTCCCTTTTTTGCGATCCAGACTGGAAATCTGATTTTTAAAAATACCCTTTAATAATATTTATTAGAATGATTAAGATTAGAATGCAAGTACTCTTATTTTTAAATAGGGCATCTATATATAGACAATTTAGAGCAGTAAAACATTTGTCCATTTCCTCACTGTTTTGATGAAGGTGGGTGGAAGCTTCTCCTTTTTTTTTGAGGGCAGGACAATATCTGTTCCTTATTTTTCTTAGTGTGAAAAATAACCCACCCACTTCCCCTTCCAGTGTATTGGGCTTCTGTTCTCAGGATTTTTCCAGAAGTTGATGGAGGTTTGTGACAGAGTTGGAAGTCCCAACACAACTTGAGGATCCCCAAAGCTCTATGTGCTAAATGTTCTAAATCAGCCACACTGGCTGAGGAACTCTGGGAGTTGAAATCCACAAGTCTTAAAGTTGCCAAGGTTGGAGACCCCTGTTCTAAATGCATGGTATGCATTGAGCGTTTCCATCCCGCTAGGTGAAGTGTGAATAGGTGTGAATAGAGTTAACCCATGGCAGTTGATAGGTGGAGCTTATGGCTTAACAGCCGAACTCGAGAACCCCATCTCCTAGCATTCACGTGGTAATGGAGGGCAATGCTAACTTCTTTGAATTCACAAAGTGGCTTCCTCTCTTCCAGCTTGGCTTCTTCAAACGTGCCCACTACGAGAAAGCCAAGCTACCCCAGTACCACGCGATCAAGATTCCCCGCCAGGAACGCCAGCTTTTTCATGAGGAGAAGATAGGCACCATCACTAAGAAGGACTGGGTCACTAGCTGGAGTGGAGACAATGATGGCCATGTTCCCGTTTCAACCTAATTACTTCCCTCTTCTTGCACGTTCTTCTTGCATGGAGACTGCTTCTTAAGGAGAGACCTTTTAGTGGCACCAGCCGAGCTCACTGGAGCTGTGCTCTTGGCGTCCTTTCCTCTCTGAGTGTTGTGCAGGCACTGGATGACTCTTTCAGGGGAGGTACAACAAACACTTGGGGGAACTGATGCTTAACGGTGGAGGTTGAGCTGATGGATTTGACAAGGCCAAACCTTTGAAGAGTTTTTACTTCCAGGGATTTTGAATTTTCTTGTAAAGCTGAGCAGTATCTGATGAGAAAAAAAGAGCCAGCATCTGTCTGAAGAAATGCTTTCTTGGTCATCAGCCAGGGCCAAAAGACCAATGAACTGTGTACCCTGATGCTGAGAGCTGGAACGGCATCTACCTTTGAGTATGTGGGCCATCAAGTCAACCTTGACTCTAAGGACAAGTCCCCACAGTTTTCTTGGCAACATTTTCAGCAGTGGCTTACCGGTACCAGGGGTGGGTTTCTACTGGTTCTGCCCACCTCTGTAGAACCGGTAGCTCTGAAGAACAGCAGACATAGAACCGGATCTATGTCTGCTGATGTTTTTGCCCACCCGGGCTCTTACCTGACCTTTATTTCCTGCTTTTTTCAACTTCAGCTGACGTGCGAATGCAGATAAATCTTTAGAGGCTACATTGCAAATCACCGAACCTCGTAAATCACCAAACTGGTAGTTAACCCTGTCGGATCCCACCCCTGACCAGTACCATTTTTCTACAGCCGGGGACACCACTGCAAAAACAGCAGGAATATGCTGCAGAATCTGGTCCTTTGAAACTGAGGATAACATGGGTTGCTTGAGCAGCATACAGGGCCTCAAAGCCTTTCTATGTGTGTATGTGTGGTTGTATATGTGTGTGTGTGTGTGTGCATGTGCAGATGTATGTGCATGCAGAGGATGAGAGAGACAGAAACTGCCTTCTTTTGAGCATGATTGCTGCCTTCCTGCCATCTTTTTAGTAGTTTTCATTGTCTTAATTCATATTAGAAGCACTAGGAGCATATTCAGTTGAATGTGGCTTTCAGTATCAAAGGTTCTTATTACTATGTTTAAAGACAACACTAAACTATCTCTTAGTTGCTTGTCTTCTTCCCTGAAAAAAGACAAGATTCCAGAGGCCCATCCCTATCCAATCATAACAGATCTGGTTTCTATCTCTGTTATGAACAAACACACATATGTACACATCTCCCTACCCATTGATTCCCTCCTTCCCTTCCCTTTTTTTTCTTTCCTTCCTTCCTTCCCCTCCCCCCTCCCCTCCCCTCCCTTTCCTTTCAGAACACAGCAACCTACCTCATCAGCTTACTGTGAGGCTAGAGCCAATAAGCAATACTTATCAGAAAGGTCAGATGAATTTTGAATAGCAGAACTAACCAAGTTCAAAGGAAAGTCATACTCCAAAAAACAAAGCCCAATTCCAGCAATTACTATGCTTGCTCATCTGCACTGTCCGGCCTTTATGCTTAATGGAGATGCAAATCTATTTTTATGCCACAAAAACAAACAATAAAGTTCAAAGAAGAATGCTGCATGTGATAGAGGCTGGCTTCTCATCAAAACTATTAAATGGCTTCTCTACTTTAGAATCCTGGTGTGTGATTTTATGACAGATAAATCTTTAGAGGCTATTTTTCATTGAGGCATTATATTATCCAAGTCACCCTTCACTCATAACATTAAATCAACATGGTTTGATTTTGGTTTAACAGGATGTGTGAACTAGTCCATGATAGCTGTGCATTATATGCAAACAGTGCTATTGTTTGCTTGTTCAACAAACGGTGCTTTAAGAAATCTATTTTAGTTTTATATTTTTTTTAAGCAGCTGCTCTTTCTTACTCCAGGGGACAAAAAAAGCTCTGAGGTCAGCTTTGATTTTATTGATAGGATTATCTCAGATGCTTTCTTCAAGTTTCTGTTCTGATGACATTTGTTCTTAATCACGACATCAAAATGATGAAATGTGCATCATGATATGATAATGTAAGCTCTTCCCTTTCATACTTGCATCATGATGCCACACAGAAACACATAAGGGGTGCAATTTGTATTATAATGCTGAGGCATGAGTTTTGTCAATTGCTCCTCTTTACAATTTTTTATGAAGGTGCTTACTGTCCTGTATGTACCATTCAGGAAAATAAGCATCTTCTTAGGGTACCAAGGGAAAGAGGTACCCCAGTTTCACACACACATACTCCCAGCTATCATGCCTTTAATTCTTTCATTGCCATACTCAAATTTAGTTTTTGGCACATTGAGTCTTGTGTCACTTAAGCTCTGGAAGGGCTGAAGGATATCATTGTTGGCTTGTGCTCAGAACATCTGGGTGCCTATACTCTGCCTCCTAGAATTGTGACAATTTCCTTTCAGAATTACCCTTTATGGTTTGCATGTATGAAACAAGTTTCTCACCCTCATTTTCTCCCTAAAAGACATATTAGCAGAAACATAATGTTTGTCCACAAACATACACTATATAGAAACTGGTCTTTGCTTAATAGGGACAGTGATCAGAACACAACTGTGGCAAAAACAGTGTTTCAAAAAAATTGAAGCATTTCTCAAATCATCGATATGGCACATTGCAGACAGATCCAAAGTAAGAACCTGCAATAAACCCAGTTTATTGGCTTAAGCACTAGTTGTATTCTTGGGTACAGCAAAACCCATCAACAATCCTGTGAAAATTGAAAAGTTATGGAATATGCTATTCAATAAATGAAAGATTATACCCCAATAAACCTGTTTTTAAGGTGCTATGAAATGTATTGTTGTTGCAGTCAGGGCTATAATCACAATCAAATTCAGAAAGTTCTGATATAGTATGGTCATCAGTTACCCTGCAGTGGAAGTAGCTTCTACATTTAGATCAAATCTCCAGCTGGCATAAGTTTGGAAGAGTTCTCCATTGGAGAAGATGATAATTAAAGGGAAGGTGTGCTGTCCAGCCAGTGTATGGGAATTGGATAGTTAGCAATTGTGAGCTGTCCCCTTAAGGGAATGCATCATGGTAAATGTAGTTAAGGTATCCTGGGAAATGTAGTCCATGTCACGTGACCACATCTGTAATCCTGATTGGTCACTAAATTAACCCTTGCTGGGTTGGGGGAGGTTTCCTCACTCTTGGCTGAACTTACGGACTCGTAGTATCTGTTCTACTTCTATCGCTACAAGATGGGAGAAAAAGGATAGGAGATAACCATATTTTTACCTACAAGACAGATATGCAAAGGATTGGTCATTAAAGAACTTTGTCATAAATGTGAGTTATGAGGATACCTGATGAACCAATAATAAAAACTTTGTATGGATGTTTTGTTGAGTTTTCTATCTGCATCTATACAGAAGACAAAATCTACCACTGTACAGAATACAGAACAGTAAAAAGATGGTTATCTCCTATCCTTTTTCTCCCATCTCTCAGAGAGAGAGAGAGAGATTAATTAAAAAGATTAATTGCAGGGAAATATGCAAAACCAAGTCTCCAAAAACAAACCAGAATAGACAGGACTTCCACAAGAACTTGGAGTTGAAAGAACTTCTTTGCTTCCTGCAAAGAACCCAACCCCCGAGGGCTGGCTTTTATCCCTTATGGGAGGGGCCATCACCTTTCAGCCTTACTCCCAAGTCACCTGTGCTGCTCAGCTTCTCTTTTCTTTGAGCAGCCCTGTGCGCACACACACTGGGCACAGATTCCTCGGGGTCCTCTGCATCACTGCTGCCAGACTCCACAAGCTCCAAAGGCAGCACCCCACTCTCCGGTAGTCCTGGCCCCATCCCTGCATCACATGCAGGCCCCTCATTCGAGTCCTCGCTCTCAGAGACCTCAGCCATCCACACCTGCTGCCAGCAAACCACAACAAAATGCCATAAAAATTTTTTAGGTGAAAAAGGTATTCCCAGATTCCTTCTGACTCTCTGTGAAGTATTACGAACATTCCTGAACATAGTTCAAGAAGCTATAATCTATTCAGAATATTTCAAGATGTTGGAAATAAGAGTTTAATGAGTGAGCAGGTGTGATTCCCTGCTGCTCTTCTTGTCTAGCCATCACACCATCACACCATCACACCACTATATATTCTTAAAATCAGTCGTGTATATTCATAAATAACTGCACTTTGGTGCTTAGCCCTAAATAAAATTAGTTGCTATGGCATTATTAGCATCATGTATGTGGCATGTGGCTGAGAAGGAAGATAGTTAAAATGCAGCAACATTAATAGAGGGATTTAAGATCACACAGCTGGAAGGAGAGGCTCCTACAGCTTCTAAAAAACCAGTCCTGGTCAGTGAATGTGGGAAAACAGGTAGAGCATCAGTTATCTAAAGATTATGCTTTGAGAACCATCACTTGGTGCTTGGGTCTCAAACTGCTAACATTCTGGTCAACAAACCCAGTATCTTAACTGCTAGGCTAATATAATGTATATAATACATAATATAATGTATAAAGAAGGATTATATCTATTTTGGTGATAGCACTAGATCTCTTTTCAAATTTATCAAACGCACCTCTCTTTTACTATTATGGCACAGGAAGCAAAACTGTTGACAAGCTCATTATTGATGCTTTAGGATATCAACATCAGCATGACATCCCAACTCTGACAGCATAGCAGATGCACAGTTCAGGGATATAGAATCCACAACTTGTTCTTATCAACTGGGTTCATATAATTTTTATGTCAGCCAGTTCTTTTAACTGAGGAACAAACTATCACTCCCACAGTTGGCTTTAACTTAATTAGTTTGAACATTAACCCTGGGCAGTTATCACAGGATTAAACTTCTGTCCCCAATTTCAAGAAAAATAAGTAAAATGCCTGGTCTTTCATGAATAGATGAGTCAATGAATACCAATCCCTTTTATAGAGTGTAGACCTGGGAATGGCTATAATTAAAAATC